GTTTTTAGTGGTCGTTACGCAACAATTATTATTTACCACATATTATTTATACAGTATATATATATATATATTGTATATTTACTATATATCTCAATCGATTAGTTAAAAACTAAAATAATAATTAATTTTTTTCAATGTGATATATACGATATTTGCTATATAAGCTTTATTTAATAAATATACAGTATCTATACTGTATATATAATATAACTATGATATTAAGCATAAGATTAAAAAACTTAAAGTTTACAATTACCGGTAATTAAAAATATTGACATAACATTAAAATTAATTTATTATTTGCTCATTTGTACTGTATATAAAGTACATAATATTAACACTTTATTATAGTAGAATATTTTATCAAAATTTAAATAAATATATTTTTATTTTTATTAGATAAGATAAAAGTAGAATATAATTATTTGTACTAATAATAATCACACATAATGTTTGCAATCATTGTTATCTAATGTTATATTTTAAAAGATTATTATTATTTTTAGTTTAATTATTAAAATAACAATAAAATATATTTTATTAGTAAATAACATTTTGTGTGTGAAGATGTTATCCAAATAAAAATAGTTGTACATAATTATATGCTATTATAATGACAATAATTTGACAATTAATTTGACAATTAATTTGACAATTAATTTCCAAAATTCATAAAATATGATATTTTCTAATCTCTATAAAATTATTTATAAAAATATTTATTTCACAATTTATTATATAAAAAAGTCACTATTGGTACTAATTAAAAATCCATTATAAAGTTTTTTAATTCATTTTATTAAAATCCTTAAATTTAAATTATTAATATTAAAATAAATCTATAAATAAATAATTTAAATATACTCATTAACTTTAAAATATGTGTATTTTAAATGAAATATTTAATTTAAATGTGATCTAATATTAATAAACACATTTGTTTCATTTTTTAAAACCTAAAGAATTTTAGATTCAATAATTATACATTTTTAACTAATTTAAATCATTAATAGCATAATTATTTATTCATATAAATATAAGGTCAAATAAAATTGTTAATATATCAGTAGTGTATTGATTAATAATTTTTTATACTCTATTAAATAGTTGTTATAATAGTTGCTAAAAAAAGTCAAATAGTTGTTAAAATAGTTATTTAAACTGTACTAAATAGTTGAATATAATTGCCAAAAAAGCCAAATAGTTATTGAAATAGTTATTTATTTTCTTATAAATATTTCAACTGATATATAATTCACTTGTTTTCAGCATATTTACAAAAATGATTTATATAAATAAACTAATTATTTCTATTGTTGAAAAAGTAATATGAGTTGATAACAGTTTACACATTTTATATAATTTATATAACTATTACTTTTTGTTTTTACATATAATTGTGCAATATTTTACAATTTAATGCTTATATTTTTCAAAATCAATGAAATAATTATTTATAAGTTTTTATAGTTTCTAACCCAACAAATAGTTATTTATAGTTATAATAAAATTTCGGAAATAGCGTCCACTGGTCAAGTTAGGTGGACATACTAAGTCCCAGTTATAAGCGCTGAACCGACAAAATCATTTTTTTTAGTTGGAAATCAAGACACTATATATCAGTGATCACAGTATATCACAAATTATTATAGTATATTATATATTATATAGTACTGTATGTAGTATATAGTATAGTAATGTATTAGTATAGTATAGTATATATTAACTAAATATATTAATAATAAATAGAAATCACAATGAATTTATTATTTAAAATCTTATATTATTAATTTAAAAATTATCAATTGTATGTTTATTTAATAATATAATTTTTTCTTTATAAATTTGACATTGATTTTAAAATGATTGTATATTTGTCTATTTTTTATTGATTTATTGATAATACATTATTATTTTGCTATTATATCATATTTAGGTATATAAAAAAAATTATATCAATTTTTATTATAAAAATGTTGTCATCTTAGATAATAAACTGTATTGATTTGTCTAATTTATACAATTTTATACAATTTACAGAACCATTGATAATAGTTTGAAATACAAATATAAAGTTATGTCAAAAACACGAAAGATATTATTATTATAACAAATAAATCACAAACTGTTTTAATAGATTTATTATCAATTATTTCATGCATTAATTCACATGTTATCGATATATCTTTTATTTTGGTTATTAACTGAATAACATATAAGTTGACAAAAATAGTTTAAACAAATTTTCATTGTTTTTTCTGTATGAGACTATATTAGAAATTTATAATTTTTACAATAATTTTTTTATCTAATAAGAAAAATATCATTTTTAAAAAATACAAACAACAAAAAACACAATTACATACTTTAAACAGTGAACAAAAAAAACTTGAAGATTACAATTGTGTCAATCAAAGAGACACATATTGTAAAATGTGAAATTTTTTTAATACATGTGTTTAGCTTTATATCAAAAAATTTTATAATACAAATTTTTAGAAACAAAATTTTTAAAAAATCATATTAGTCATGTAAGATATTTGTTAAAATAATATCTTATTGATATATACAGTATATCATACAGATAATTATGACAAATATGTTTTACAAAAATTTTTACAAATAAACATCCTATAATAATTATTAGTAATTATAAGTAGTATAATATAATAATAATTATTTATAATGTGTATTTGTGTATCTATATAATTATTAATTATCTTATAAAATATAAATACAACTATTATCGATATTATTTATAATTTGTGCTTATATTTGAATTACACTTTTTTATTGATTATTCTTACAATGTTTTGTTTTAAAAATTATTTTATTCATAAAATTTTAGATATAATCTAATTTATTATAATTCATAAAATGGATTCAAGGAATTTAATTAAGTCCAGAATGAAAATTAAATCAAATTTATGGTATGTATTTTGAATATATTTATTTGTTAAAAAATATTTACATAAAGATTTTATTTTTAATAATATATATACTTAATTGTATTATTATTATACAACATAAAATAAAATTACAGAAAATTATTTTTATTTAACTATGCATCAATAATTTGTATACATTATAGTCTATATTTTATCATAATTATATTAATAAATACTACTTATTAAATTGTATAAATGTACAATAAAATTATGTAATTAATGCATAAAATATTATGTTTTACTAAATTATTGTAATCATTAAAATATGATTTAAAAAAATAAATTTTTAAAACTAATATTTATAGGATTCTCTTAAAATATGTTAGAATTTCTATACAATCTAAACCCAGAATATGATTATGAATGTACTGTATATTGATTTAATGCAATTTTAATAGTAAACTTTAAATTTATATTGTGGTTTATAAGATATTTTCAATATATATATATATATATATATAATTTATATGTATTATAATAAAATTTATGTATCATTTTTACAAATATTTTCTAATAGAATTTAATTATTTTTAATATTTACAAACATTTCCTAAAATGATTTTTAAAAAAATATTTATCATTTTTTTTAAATAAATAAAAAAAATTGGAAAATATTAGATTATAGATAATTTTTACGATTTAATACAAATAAATAAATAATTTATTCATTGGAATCTACATTCAAACTAATTATTATAAGCAAATAAACAGTTTTATAATTTATTTGAACAAACAAAGTATAAATGACATATTGATTGTTATTTTTAATAATTTATAAAATATAGATATATTTATTACAAAATTCTAATTTTTAAAGTTTTTTAGTTTATTAAATAAAAAAAATAAATTATGAAATTATTGAAAATAGTAAATTATATTACCATATTATAGTAAATATATAATTTAATATCTAAAAACAATATTATATTGATATATATATATATAAATATAGATTTTATGATTGAATGTATTCAATAAAATAGTAAATTCTTATTTGCTGTCTTTTCTTATTATTTAAAAACTGTAAAAATTATTGTTTGCGAAAAAAATCAATTATAAAATTTGATATTTTTTGCAACAAAAAACAGACTGAAATTAAAAAAAACATACCATAAAGTCTAGATAATCATATAATAATAATAATAATAATACAATACTAATTCAATATAGAAATAGAAATATTTCAATAGAAAGTAATTTTCGATATATTTATATATAAAAAATAACAGTTTATTCATTGGAAATATATGAGAAAATACTAAATTAATAATAAAGATATAAATGTAAGAAAACATTGAATATTTTATGTTGGTTTTGATTATATACTGTAATAATAATAACAAGAAATAAAAAATATTTTTTTTATGAATGAAATTAATTGTTAACCAAGTTTTATGTCAAAGTTTGTTAACCCTATTTTTTATAAGTTATATATTAGATGAGTAAAAATGTGTAGTATTTCTTAAATGTATTGAATTTAACTCTTTGTTAGATATTATATATATATTTACTTTTTTTGCTATTTTATTGGCTTTAACTATAATATATTGTAGAAAATAGCATATAATTTAATAGTTGTGTCACGCACTATACATTGATCATTGTGTTATACAGTGTTATTAGTTAGCCGGCAAATTAAATGCCATTTTTATTTAGCATTTGTTTGTTTTTTTGACACTAATTGCCAATTAATTAGAGACACTGATGACCCTTTAATTTAAAGACATTAAAATTCAAAACAATAATTACAATGAGATTTTAATTATATGCTAACATTAATGTAATAAAAGTTAGTAAATATGATAAAATTGTTTAGATCTTATTTAAATGTATTAAAATTTTTTTGGACAAATATACTTAATTTAAGTTTTAATTTAGTTATTAATAAACTTATTTTTTATTATTAAATAGCTGATCAATAATTAACATTATTATTAATATAATTATTTAAATTTATTCAACAGTGTATTTAACATAATAGTGAGAATATGGATAATATTTACGTTTAAGAATATATTAATAAACGGACAGTTATTCCTGACGGACAGTCCAATGTCAGCCAATGCGGTAACATATCTGCCATTGGAAAGCAAAGACTCGTATGGATACCAACAGTCCTCAGAGTGCGCCCTAATATTGCAGAGGACTTACGCTGCCGACGGCAAACGTACCAAAAATCACGCCCCTATTTATGGGGGATTTTTTGAGCTTTTTAAAGGCGAAGGGTATGTAATGGCAGTATTAATATTAATATTATTATTATTTTTTTGGTAATTTATTTAAATGAAATATTAGTTGAATTATTGTCAAGAGATTTATTAATGATTATTGAGTTCATTAAATTAATTGAAACATTATATCATATTTTTTATGTACAGTATTTTTGCTATAATTCATAATATAGTTTATGTACTGTACTATGAATTATCATATAGTAGAGTACAATACAGTATATGATTATTAATTTATTTATTTAGGATATTATTGTATATTTTTTATAAATATAAATATAAAAAATAAAATTATTTAAGTTTAGAAATTTATTTTATGAAATTGTTTTTTTTAAATTTAAATTATTTACAAAATCACGAAATTTCAATTTGTTGTTTAGATGTCTCTTATATAAGTTACAAAAAACTAATACTATTATTAAATACAAAGTGTAGGAAATTATAAACATTTATTAATATATGCATTTAGGCCATATATGATATATATATATAAATATATATAAACTCTTATATTTAATAGTTATATATTATTTATTATAAACTTTTTAAATATGAATTTTTTATTATACTGTATTAAACATTTAAAGTAAGTACACTGATACTTAAAATTTAATGTTAGCTAAAATGATTTGATTTTACACATAATGTTAATTTAAAACAACAAATAGCCGGTCATTTATTGCGATAGAGAAAGAAAGAAAGAGAGAGAGAGAGAGAGAGAGAGAGAGAAGACAATTTAATTGCAAATTCAATAATAACACACCCATTATAATGTATATATATATCTTATTTAATATTATAAGAAATTTACTGTATTTACAAAATTAGGCTATTCTTTAATTACATATAAAAACAAAACATTCAGACAATTAATAGACAGTAATAGACAAGTAGTAGACACTTAGTAGTTAATCATTTTTATTTTTCTATTTATTAATATTTTTTTATTTAAATTTGTTAATTATATAAGAAATCTTTACGATGGAGACTACGGGGACAACCAGTACGATGAGGTCTGTATCAGGTATTCTGATGTAAATGCGGTCATCAGGTCAGCCATGAATCGGCTCAACTATAAGCGGCCCAACGGTATCGATAGTCTGGAGCCGGCGCCCGATATGATTGGCGAGACGTCCGAAGTGTCACTACTGGCCACACATATGTTGGCCGATAAGTAATAAAACTAATTTTACAAAAAAAATAGTGAAAAGTTTTCGTGAATTAATTAACAAAAAATAAATTAAATAACAAATACTCCATAGATTTGATTTAACTCACGACGAGATACTAAACGGTTTGCCACTAATAGATATGTCGCGAACCATATACTGGAATCACTGTCCACTTCATGTAAAACCAATTCCCTGTGCTATTAGCCGATACCGGACTTATACGGCTCACTGTAATAATCTAAAGAACCCGAGTTGGGGCGCATCCAACACACCGTTTGTCCGATATTTACCGCCCGTCTATGCCGACGGTATTGACTATTGTTATAATAAAACTTTAGTATTAAGTGTGTCTATAATTTTTTGTTGTTGGTAGGTATTGAAGCCGATCGTATCAGTGTTATAAAAGGGGCCAAATTGCCAAACCCGCGACTGGTGTCGGCCGTAGTCCATAAAGATCATGACCAGCCGTCGCCCGAACTAACCATTCTAATCATGAGTTGGGGCCAATTCATCGACCACGACGTTGCACTGGCGGCACCTCCTAGAAGTGAGTTATCATTTTTATTTTATTTTATTAATAATAATACAGTACTAATCAATAATAAATACTATACATTACTTTCATATTTTTATTTTATAATATTTATAAAAAATACAGTAAATAATTACTATATTTTTTTATAAAGTTATTATTCGATATTGAATCGATAATCTTAAATAATTTTAGATCTTTAATAGCTATTATTTGACAATTTAAACTATATATTTAATAATATTAAATATATTTTCCATTAATTTATTTAACATTATAACTTATAATTTATAAGTTATTTTGAAAAAAATCGTAATAATGTACTTAACAAATATAATTAAATTAACTATAATTTTTTTTAAAAAAAATTGTAGCAAAATATTTTAGTTTAATTTAATTATAATTTTTAAAAAATTATTTTTTTATTAAATTATTTTTATAATCTTTATGCATTCTAAACAATTTTTTATTTTATTATTCATATTAATTATTAAAAAAATTAATTTTTAATAGTTTAGAATATTTAATTTAATTAATATTATTTTTATTATAATACTTTAGTGATAAAATATACTGTTTTCATTATTTAAAAATTAATTGTTTAAAAAATGTATGAAAAATAGTTAGATAAAAAAATAATAATAACATATATAGTAAATATAATTAATATCAAAAAATTGATAAATATTTTAATAGACTAATTTATTAATTTAGTATTTAGTATAAAAATACACACATAATAAAATTTTATGATTTTGTATATTTTTGCAAATTGCAAAGCATTTTTAATTTAAAATATTTGTAAATTTATTTTAATTGAATTTTCAGACTAAATATTTTTTAGTCTACTATTTTTTATAAATTCTGCTTATTATTTATTAAATAAAACTAAAATATTAAAATAACTGATTTTTAATAATATATAAAATTTTTAGTATTATTATTATTATTATTATTAAATTACATTGATATAAAATTTTCTACATTATTAAACTTAAAATAATTTTTATACTTAACCTTTATTTAGTTATCAAATATTTTATGTCTCACTACTATAAAGTCGACTATTTTTACAAACAATGATAAAAAATTATTATTTAAAATACTAAATATTATATAAAATTAATTAAAAAATGTTGTAGGTAGTTTCGGGAGTTACAAATAAATATTTTATCAAAATAAACATTATAGATCATTATAGTAGAGCTTAAGCAACTTTCCCATAGAGGGAAGTTCCCTAATAAAATCCCTCTAATTTTCCTTGAAAAATATGGAAAATAATATATTTTCTCTCCCATCTTTAGAAAGGAAAAATATATTTAAATTATTACAATAAATAGTATTAAAACCTAAATAATTTTTAAAATAAAATTCATTGAAATATTACAAATTAGATTACAACTCAATAAAAATTGTGATACTATTTATCATCACTACTTAAAATACAGTTTAATATAACATTTGTTTTTTCAAATATCATAATAAAATGTGTTGTTTAGAGTTCAATAAGTAGTAGAACAAGGAAATAGATTCCTTGGGAATTCCCAGTGAATATAAGGAACTTTTGGAAATTAAAAACGAGAGAGAATTTAATCGAAACATACATTACAGTAAATTAAAGTTAAATATTATAATAATAGATTTTTAAAAATTAAATATATGTTATAATTTATAATTTTATAAATAAGAATAAATTATATTATTTAAATATGTAGTTATATTATAATAAAAATACTAACTTAAAATTGAGTTTTAAAAAATAATTTGAGTTTTAGAAATAAATCATTAATAACAGCATACTGTAAATGTATATAATAATAAAACAATATTATATTACATTATAATTTCTAAATTATTATAAGAATATTTTTTTAAATTTGCATATTTTATATTTTAAAATAATATAAATTTATTTACTATATATAATATTATAAAGAATTTGTTTTTATACTTTTATTTTAATTTATTATATTGTATTTATTACTATTACAATTATTACGATTATAGTAAACATTATAATATAATATAATATAAAAACAAATTGTTTACACATTAAACATAAAATTCAAATTCTTAGAATTTTTTACCATTTCATTAATTTTATTATCATTTTATTTTTTAAAAAAAAGTAAACATTAAGTTATTTTTTTAAAAAAAATAGACAATAAAATTACATGCATTAGTATATTACTAGAATTTACTTATAATATAAATATTGTAATATAATATTACATTATAAATAATATATTTAATATTAGTTCAATGTTATTTATAATAGTATTATTTTATTAACTTATATTGCTAAGCTTTCAAATAAATTCTTATTTATTATAAATATTATAATAACAAATATTAACATTACAATATAAAAATAAATAAATATTAAACTACTATAATTTTAATACAATATAATATTGTTGATCAATATATTGTATTTATTTTGATACAAAATAACAGCAAATACACAGTAATCCTAAAGCTTTTATTAATAATTAACTTATACTATACTAAGCATATAATATAAGGTATGTTGAATATAATATGCAATTTGACTACTAATTCAAATGACTGTGTAATTTATAAGAAATTGAATAAAAATAATTTAAATATATATACATTGTATTAATTTCTCTAATCAAAAGTTAATTTTACCAAATAATCTAATTTGTATCTAATTATTCAAGATTATATTATTTGATCAATAATGTAATTTATTATTAATACTGTATTATTGTATTTACTAGTATATCGCTGTAATATATACTATAGCTGTTATATTTTTGTATATATAGTTTATAATATATAATGTATATAAACTTTAGATACATTATAATAAAAATATATCAATGCATTTATGCTACTGTATATAAATATAATCATTAAATCTAAAATATATTACAAAATTTATTATTAATTATTGAATATAAATGTTTAATTATTACTTTTTTAAAAAAAAAATTATTAATCAAATTATTTTTGAAAACATATAATCTTATAAAAAATGTAAATTTATTATTTAATAAAAAAACATAAAATATTTGCATCGCTAGTGTTTCCCGACGGCAAAGAAGCCGATTTTGATTGCTGTAAAATGCCTGTCAATGAGAGACACCCGCTGTGCAAACCGTTTGAATTAGCCGACGACGACCCGCTCTATGGAGAGGTCGGCCAAAAATGTCACGATTTTAAACGATCGGTTGCCGGCCATCGACCCAACTGTGCATTAGGTAATTGTAATATTTTTTTATATTGTTTTGTTGGTAATTCATTGTTATATATTTTGTTTGTTTGTTTGCTTTTTGTTTTTTGTTGACATAAAACAATGTTTTTATGATTTCATTAATATTATATGACATATTCATCCATTATAATTATACCATTTTTTTGTTGTTGTCCCCCTTTTTATTTGCCTAACAGGTCCACGGGTACATGTAAACACACTGACCGCCCCCATTGATGCCAATTTTGTTTACGGCTCAACTGAGGCCGTGGCTCTCAGGCTCAGGGCTTTCAAAGGAGGTTAGTGTCAAAAATTTATTTAACTATAAATATGATAGTATAGTGATATTACTTTATATATGTATAATATTTATTTATATACATATCCAATAATCTACGTTTGAAAAATATTTTATATTTTTTTTATCAATTACTGGATATTTTCTACTATTAATTAGTATTATATAATTTTTTGTTTAATTTCTATTTCTAAAGCATTGATAAATCAATTAATTTAATCAATAAATTAATGAAATGTCTTATTTGTTTTGTTGTTGTTTCTGTGTATTTGAAGCACTCAAAGAATTTAATTAAAATAATAGATATATATATATATTTATATATTTCCCGAGCAAATAAAATCAATGATTTATTGCTAAACAAATTTTTAAGCAAATAATAATAATAATAATAATATGTTATTTTGATTTATCTATAATTTTATATATAAATATATTTTTATTTTACTGGGAAATTTAGTTTAAAAATAAATTTTTAAAATATACTACTTATATTTATTATTAAGTTCAATAATCATCATATTAATGATAATAATAATAATAATAATGATAATAATGATTATGATGTTCAAATGATCATTTCTATCATCAAAGTGTAAAAATTGCTATAAAAATTAATGATCATATTATATATATATATATAAATATATAGTATATTTAGCCATAAAAAGATACCGCTTTTTTATACCCTATAAATATTGAAGCGGTAAACATAAATAAAACTGTGCGGTATCTATGACTTAATGTTATTTATAAGTAATTTTTATGATAAAAATATAAGACAAATTAGATTTTTGTAAATATTTAAAACAGTTTTTCATTTTCATATATACAGTATATAACTATACTGTATATATATTTACTAAATTAACACAAATATTACAAAAAGTGTTTTATAAAAAAATAAATATAAATTAAACATTTTTCAATATAATTATTTATTATAATTAAATTTTAAAAATTCATAGTATATTGCAATTTAGAAAATACAATAAGCAATTAAAACATGGTCAATAAGCACATTATAATAAAATTGTATGCAAACAAAATATAAATAACATATATGTACAGTAGCATTATCTAGGTTACATTATTTTTTTAATGATATTTTTCCTATTACTATTATTTTATGAGATATATTTTTTTTTGTAAATTTCATTTTACACAATGATAGACAATGTTAATATTACTGAAATATTTAATATATGATTCATAAATTATTATATACAATAGCATACAGTAATACAATTTAATATTAAACAAATGGATTTGAATTTTTATTTTTTTAAATTTTGTATTTCATAATGAAAAATATGATTGATTTACATATTAATGTTATTTCAAAAAATAAAATAAATTCACTTCATATATGTATTAATATGTTAAAATAAAGTGTATAAAAAATATTTATATATATCATCCATTACCTCATATTAAAGATATGCTACTGTATTGTATGATAATGAAGCGCATATCATCGCAAACAACACTAAATATTATATATCATATTATAATTTTGTTGTTGTATATCTAAACTTCATAATATTTTTTTAATAAAAATATATATATAAAAAAATTATAATGGATATTATGTTTGCATATTTAACTTGCAAACATTAATTTATAGACATCCTACAAAAATAATATACATATAAATATATTTTTTAAGGAGTAAAAAATATATTTATTTATTATAAGATAGTTAAAAGCATAATTCATATATTGATATAATTGTATGTACACACTATAACTCATAACTATATACCGATATATAATAAAAATTTCAAGATATATATATATATATATATTATATATATATATATATATTGTCTAATTTCCTGACAGACAGCCAATTCCCAGACCTTATGACCGAAAAAATCAATGTTATAATAAATAATGATAAGTATAGTCATTGAAAAAAAGAAAATACAACTAAAATAATGACAACAGAGAAACAACAACAACTTATATCTATAAAAATAAATATATTTTACTAATTCTACTAATATTTCTTAAACAAACATAAAACACACACAAAATGTATTTCAACGATAAAAATATTATATATAAATTTATATATTAAGTACTGTATAGAGTATATAGAAAAAGTATAAAAAAGTAAAAATATTAAATAAATAACGATTTTTTATGTGAAACCCGACGCCAATATCAATCAGGTCTGATGCGAGTCTGGGATCGTTTCCGTGAATACGGTCTGAAACCATTGTTACCGCCGGAAACCGAAAACCCTGAGCTGGACTGTGCCGGTCGTCCTCGACATCTGTTCTGTTTCATTGCCGGAGACGTTAGGGTTAACGAACAAATTCATTTGACAGTATTGCACACCTTCTACGTCCGCGACCACAACCGTATAGCCGTACAGTTGGCCAAAATGAACCCTCACTGGGACGACGAAAAAATATATCAGGAAACCAGACATATTGTGGCCGCTTCGGTACAACACATCACTCTTAACGAATTATTGCCGCTACTGATTGGCGAAGAGTTGGTCCATCGGTACAATCTGACCGAAGAAAAGGATGGCTACTGGAATGGCTACGATCCTAACGTTCATACGGCACCGGCACAGGGATTCACTACCGCTGCCTTCCGATTTGGACACACCTTTATTCAAGGTATTTAAATATCTAAATCATATTAACAAAAAAAAAATTACAATTAACTGACACATCGTTTGGGTGATGAATGACAGGACTTGTCAGACGTTACAACAAATATCACGAGTTTCTCGGCGACCATCATCTGAGACATCTACTGAAACAACCGTTTATTGTCTACGAACCGGGAAAGCTGGACGAACTGGCGTTGGGTATGATCAACACACCGGCCCAGGACTACGACCCGTTCATTACTGTGGAAGTGTCCGGACATCTCTTTCAAGGACCCGATGGAAAGGTTGGTATGGATTTGCCAGCAATCAATTTGGCCCGTGCCCGGGAACAAGGCGTTCCTGGTTATAATATATACCGCGAGTGGTGTGGCCTACCGCGGGCCGAAACATTTGACGATCTGGAGCCGTGGCTCAACAACGACACTGCCTTTCATTACTCGAAACTCTACGCACATCCGGACGACATTGATCTGTGGAGCGGCGGTATATCTGAGCGCCGATTGCCCGGCGCTATGATTGGACCCACTTTTGCCTGTATTGTTGCCCGAAATTTTGCAAACATCAGACGCGGCGATCGATTCTGGTTTGAAAACTCCGGGTTTCCGTCGGCCTTCACACCGGAACAGTTGCATCAGATCAAGAAGTATACTCAGGCAAAGATTATCTGCGAAAACGGCGACGATATACCAAACATTCAGATGTGGGTTCTTCGCAAAGCACATCCTATTTTGTATGTCTAACACTTTTATACAATACAATATAAATTATGACATACCTGTCCTTTTGTTTGTTTATTTGTTTTTTAATTTGTCGATTGATATATGATTTTTAATTGTTTTTAAATAATTTTCATTGTTGTTAGCAATCCGAGGGTCAGGTGCGAGGATCTGCCCGATATAGACCTGAGCTATTGGCAGGAAGACTCCATCAATGGTGGCTATCCATTGAAAAAGTGATAAAATAAATAAATAATAATAATAATAATTTTCTAACTAATAATTTTGAGTGACAGTCATTAAACAACCAAAATCTGTGTCTAAGTCTTAATATTTTTTTCAAATAATTTTTTTCTAACAATTCTTAATAATTACTTTATTTTATAAATGATTTTTTTAAAAAACAAATAAATATTTAAGAAATAGTTAACTAATAAATTTAACATTTTATACAACAAAAAATTAATTATCAAATTAGAATCTGTTTAATTGAAATAATGTAATAAAATAAAAGATATTTTTATGATAATTAATGTCATATGTTTTTAATGATAATTTTATTTTATTTTTTTTTTGATTTTTATTTCGTTGAAATAGTTCAACAATTTATTTAATATAAAAACAATAATAATTTAATATAAAATAATTTATAAAAATATGTGTGAAAATGTAAGAATTTTTATCTTGAATATTATTACTAAAATGAAATGTTATAGATTATATTTTTTCATATTTAATATAAAATATTTAATATTTTTAATGTTATATACAATATAAATAATTTAATATATTTATATATACAATATAGTATATAAACTATATATATATATATATATATATATATATATATTTAAAAAATAGTGTTGATTTTGAAACCCAATACTTTTTATTATTATATTGTAGTAAAAAAATTAATGGTAATACACATACACTATATGAATATTTTGGATAAATTTTATATAACTTATATAAAAATATATTTTATGTACATAAATATAAAATATATGCACCTAATATCTTTAAGTTTGAAAATAATTCTATGATTTTTTATAGTGGAAATTTTTTTTTATATGATATATGCAAAATAAATGATATTAGTTGTGATAAAATACAGTAACACTAAATTGAAAAATAGTTTTTAGTTTTTATTAGATTTTTATATTTTGTTATTTAAATGATTGAATTTCAATTGCTTACTAAACTATTAATAATTCATATTACAGTATTACTGTATTACTAACACATTAATAGATAAATAAATCTAAAATATTAACAATATTTTTTTAATACAAATAGATTTTATTCTGAAAAATATTTATATTTTATTATTTGTCAATTTATTATATATATAACTTTCAATAATAATAATCACATTTTATATATTGGTCAAATATACTGTTATATATATATAAATATTTTTTTCAAAATATATTCAAAAAGTATTACTAAATTTACAGTATTTGCTTTTTAAAAATTGTTACAAAAAAAATATTAAATCTGAAACAGTGTTTAAATTTTCAACATAAGTCTATTATGAAATATAAGTATTAATTTATATTTTATGTTATATTTTATATACTGTATAAATTAAATTAAATAAGTTATAGTAATTATTTGGTTATATGAACCATAAATACAGAGATAATAAACCATACGATGACTTATAAGGGATATTAAGGGATAATATTAAATATATGAAAACAGATAATATATATTCAATGATAATTTTCTAATATTATTAATAATTTTTTTTATTTAAAAAAAATTATATTCAAAATTATGATATTAAAAACACTATTTGTTTACCCTTTTTTCAATTTTACTAAACAATTGATTATAAAATACAATATAAATACATTGATATCAATCTTTTTATGAATTTTTGTGAAAATTCATTAATAATATTATCAATACTATTAAATGCTATGACAGATATTTATGTAATAATAATAATAATAATAATAATAATATGAGATCTTTGTTAACTCTGTTCAAAAGTAAGTGATTGACAATAAATAATTATTAATTGATTTAATTGATAGTTAGTGTGAAAGCACCGGTAGGTCTAAGAAAATAAATTGTTTGCTTTTGCTTATGAATAGTAGGATTCTCTTATAAATATATCAATCATGTAATATATATGCCTATTATAATGACTACGGGTAGCCGCAAAATAAATCAAATAAAGTTATTTTTATACTAGACATTACATTACATTAAAATTTTTTATTTATAGTATTATAATAGTAATAAGATTATAGTAGCTATAGTTTATACAGTAAATACAGTATATATAAATAAATATCAATTTTGTCCATTATTTGATGTATTTGTGTTATTTATTGTGAACTCAATTAACAAAATAATTATTAATATTATAGATTATATTCTATATATATATATATATATGTGTGTGTGTGTGTGTGTATTATATAAAACTTATTAATAAAAACCGTTTTAAAATGTAATACTCAGGTGTATTACTTGATAATATTTTTTTTTAAAACTATAATTTTATGAGTTTGATTACACTAATATTTACTATAAATCATTAAATTAATGAAAAATACTAATAAAAGCGGCAAATATTATATATAATTGTACTGTAGATTGAATATCAAATAAAACTTTGATGTCAACTGGTTTGCACTAAACGGATATATGGATAGACTCTGTTTGGAGTTAACCCAGTAATAGAAAAGCGCATGAATTTTGAGACAACAAAAATCTTATGACTGTATATATACTATATATGTATAGATTATATATATATATATTTATATACCATTAATATTGTATGTACTGTATAATATACACTGTGTAGTATCTGACAATACCTAACATATATAGTATATATATATATATATATATATATATATATATATTTATATATTGACTTTACTTTTAGTCGACAAATATAAGTGACTGAGTGTAGACTTTCGCACAGATTTTATTATGAGATATATATTTATAAAATTTAGATAAAATCTTATTATTAAAATTATAATATTTGTAACTTATTTGTAATAATTTTGTTCAAAATAAATATTTTATTTTAAAAGTTTGTATGAATCATTTTTGTTGTTGTAAATATTTATTATTATTTTTTTGTGACCATCTATTTATCAAAAATTATGTTTTTGACAATTTAAAAATATATTTATTACGAATTATTATTAATTATAATATAATGTATTTTTGTATAAATATTAAACCATCCATCAGTCTATCTACTGATATCAGACAACAATAACAGTTTGTAGACATTAAAAGTGCATAAATATTAATAAATTATAATTTTAATTAAGTTTCATAACTTCTAATAAGGAAAGTGTAGTTCATATTTAAGACTAAACAATAGAAAATTAAAGTTTTATAAAATAATAATAATAATAATGGGTTTTATTTTATTTAATAAAGTTGTCAACATTTCATTATCATAAATAATAAACATAATTGATAATAAATCAATATCACCTATAATTTATATGTAATAATAATAATAATATCAATAATATGAATAACTCGACTGATCTTTCACTGAATGATTTGCTGGAAGACGGCCTAAATATCGGTGACATCGATGGCAACAATATCTGGGAAAAGGATCTCTGGAAGAATATTACGATTATAACCATCTATTCATTGATTTTTGTTGTCTCACTTTTGGGCAACTCTTTAGTTATTTATGTGATAGTATCGAAACGTCGGATGAGGACAGTTACCTATTGGTATATTGTCAATCTGACTGTAGCCGATCTACTAATCACCATGATCAATTTGCCATTCAATACGGCCAGGATCATTTTGGAAAACTGGCCGTTCGGACAGTTTATGTGCCAATTTGTGCCATTCATACAAGTTTGCTCAGTGTAAGTTTAATTTTGTTGTTGAAAAATTTAATTATATAAATTAGATATATTATATATATATATAATTATTATAATTAAGATGCATTATGTAATTTCAAAAAAAATATTTTTTTTAACAAAATTATTTAAAAAACTAACAGTTAATAATATTAATTGCAATTTTATTTATTCAGTTAATATATATATTTTGTTCATAATTATTAATAAATTTATATGCAAATTTATTAAAATTTATTTAAACATTATATAAGTTTTATTTAATTATAACTAATGCAATGGTTTTTTCAAATTCCTGTTATTAGTTTAAATATTGTATATTTATTTAATAATATTTAATTGATTATATATATATATTTCACAAACTAAAGTATGATATTTGACGTATAATTTTTACATATAATTTATAATATTATTTTTATAATAATTAGTTTGAAAATTAAAAAACATTGTCAGTAATAATATAACCATATATTGAAAACATATTATGACACCCAAAGCTACTATAAATTAACATTTAGATATTGAATATTATTATAATTTGCATAGTAATCTTTAATTATGAAAATATTTATACCATAATTATTCTAAATTTATAATAATTAAAAAAAAATATTTTAAAATATACAAACATATTGTGTTTTGTATTATAAATACAGTAAAACAAAATCAACTCTTAAGTTATCTAAAATAATTACTAATAAAATATTATATATTATATATATTGTTTGTTTATTTTTCATAATTAAATTATAAACGATATAAATTTAGAAATTAGATTATAATATATATTTAAATTATTAATTAGATGGCCATATAAGTTGATTTTTCATTAATTTATATTTAATACAATTATTGTAATATTCATTTTTGCTTAAATAAACAGATACTATATAAAGTATATCATATATTAATTAGAATAGAATTTAATTATTTTTTTATTGTACTATAATAATAATAATATAATTAATATGTAGATTATGTTAAATATGTTTTACACAAAAAGTAAAACAACTTATGTAAAATTGTGATAAGCAAATTGTTTGCTTATTTAAAATTAAAATAACATAAAAATTATTATGTAAACTTTATAGTTAATTGTCTCATTATTTGAAATATATATACAGTTTATAGTATACTATCAATTGGGAATTGTTTCTAAATAAAAATAATTTTTATCTATTAATCTTATTAATTTATTTTAATTCAAGTAATACAAGTAAATATTTTTAATAAATTTTATGTTAAATAAAATATAAGCATAATAATTATATTATTATTGTTTACTTTTGTTTATTGACTATAAATCTTATCATTTTTAATAAGCAAACAATTGAATTAAATGTCATTATTATTAAATTTAGTTTTATTTTAAATATTGACTAAATTTTAGTATTTCACAAAAAAAATATTTTTAGTTGTAAAAGACAACAACGCATATGTTCTATAAAATGATAATAAAAATTTAAATTTTAAAGAAATGAATTTCTGAAAGCAATTTATTTATTATATATATATATAATATAAATTTTAAATGATTTTTAAATTTAATATCAATAAATTGTTTCCGTATAAACAATATTAAAATTTCCATCATATTTATAAAATTGAAATTTAATACTTAAATATATATATTTATTTATGAATAACAAATTTAATCTAGTAAGAAAGTAAAATAATATTTATAAAATTTTACAAAAATTTTATATATTATATTACTATTTTTAGTAATTTATTTAGGTATATAAATTATATTGTATATCAATAAAAATTTTTAAAAATGTTAAGTAAAAAAATATATTAGTATACGTATTATATTATTTATTATAAAAATCATCTTTGTAAAATAATTAAAAATATTTATTATTGAAACAGTAAATACGGTTTATAAATTAATTATTGTTTTAAAAATTTATTTAACACTATTAAAAGTAGTAATATTATATACATACCGTATATGTATTTATTTACTTATAAAAATTTATATTTAGTGATTTTAAAAATAAGCAATGTAACATTTTTTAATTGTAATATAAAAAGATAAATGATTAAAATAAGTGCTATATATTAAAATTTAAACATATTATAAAATAAAATAAAAATAATTTAAACAATAGACTATTGTAGATAATATGATAATTATATTTTCTTTGTTTTTTATTATACAGTAATTTACTATGATGAATATTATACGGTATTTACATAATATACTATTGTTTAATAGATATTTTTTAAATTTATCTTATTTAAATATATTATGTTTATCAATATAATGTAAATATTTATATATGCATGGATTTCTAATAAGTATTCATATACCTATATATATATATATATATTTAAAAAAAATTAATTTTAATTCCCAGTAATGAGAAAAATAAATGTCAATAATTGAAAATCATTATTTAAGTTTATAAGTCATTAAACTATATTATTAACTAAATTATTTTGTAATTGCATAGAGAATAGACTATTGCGAAAAACATGATTATAAAATTTTGGAGTTTTATTTCATATTATATGAAATAGTAATTTAAATAATTAATTATAAACATTAAAACTTATGCTAAAATAATTGAAATATTTGAAGCTTAGCATGTTTTCATATTTATGCATTTATATAAAAATATTAAATTTTGTTTTTACAACTTTCTCTGAGAAAGTTTCTAGAAAATTTATCAGAAATAAATTTCTATAGATATTTAACTTTATTATTATACTATGGGATCCCCATATCTATAGCTATTGCAATACTATATTAATTAGATATAATACTATACATATAATATTATACAGTACTAACAATACCTATATATAAAATAATTATAATTATTTAATAATAATCTGTTTTGTAAAATTTTATTATATATATATATATATCATAGATAAATATAATTTAATTAATTAATTTTTTACATTAATTAATAATTAAAATACTAATAATATTTAAGTATTTTTATATGAAAGCAAACATCAAGACAACAAAATTAACCATGGGGATCCCATAGATAGAAATTTCTTTTAGAAACTTTCTAGAATTTTCTCTATTATTTTATAAATTTTTCTTTTTTTTTGCCAACACTAACATATATTGTAGTATAAATCGGATTCTTTGATTTTTAAAAATAATTATTTGAGATTTTATATCATTTATTTTATTGAATATTAATGTAAAAATAATTAAGTTTCATATATGATATAAGTATAAAATTTAAATTGCACTTCAAATTAAATTTGCATTAATTATCATAAATTATTCAAAATAATCAAATATGACTTATTTAGTATAATTGTACAAAAATAAAATATTCTTTTATCATATATAACTGATTTAATAAAAATAAAATTTGTTTTATTAAAAAATATAAATTTGTAAAAATAATTTTACATCTAATAAAATAATTGAATTTCATTAGTAGTGTATTGATTAATAATTTTTTATACTCTATTAAATAGTTGTTATAATAGTTGCTAAAAAAAGTCAAATAGTTTTTAAAATAGTTATTTAAACTGTATTAAATAGTTGTATATAGTTGCTAAAAAAGCCAAATAGTTATTGAAATAGTTATTTATTTTTTATAAATATTTCAACTGATATATAATTCATTTGTTTTCAGCATATTTACAAAAATGATTTATATAAATAAACTAATTATTTCTATTGTTAAAAAAGTTATATGAGTTAATAACAGTTTACATATTTTATATAATTTATATAACTATTACTTTTTGTTTTTACATATATATATTTGTGCTTAATTTTACAATTTAATGCTTATATTTTTCAAAATAACTGAAATAGTTATTTATAAGTTTTTATAGTTTCTAACACAACAAATAGTTATTTATAGTTATAATAAAATTTCGGAAATAGCGTCCACTGGTCAAGTTAGGTGGATATACTAAGTCCCAGTTATAAGCTTTGAACCGACAAAATAATTTTTTTAGTTGGAAATCAAGACACTATTCATTAGTTAGATATATAAAAATGATTGAAGAATTGATAATATTGGTAATAAACAATACATATAATTATATATAATTAATACTGTATTAATGCAATTGTAATACATGTCTAGACAATAAAATTAGATCATTATTTGATAATATGATATGTTTTTTCATATAACAGTTATGCCTCAACATTAACGATGTGTATCATAGCATTGGACAGACATCAGGCAATCCTCTATCCATTTGGCAAACGACTCAGTCATGTCTTACCTCCGAAAATATCTTTACCGTTGATATGGACGGCCTCTGGAGTGCTATCCTTACCGCACGCCCTGTTCAACCAAGTGGTCGTCTATAGAGAGATTTCGCTAATCAGATGCAGACTCGTGTTGTCCGACAAATACCATTCCCGAGAGGAACAGTACCGCCAATGGCTAACACTATTGACGTTTGTATCGCAATATGTGATCCCACTATCGATAGCAGCCTTTTGTTATTGTAAAATAGCATTTCATATACACAGAAGAGGTATTGTCGGCCATTCAACACCACAACAGGTGGCCAACAATCTCAGGTATAATATAATTATTATTAAGAAATTTGCAGATAATTTAGATTATAATTAAAGAGTAATGTGTTGTTGAGTAGTCGACACTGTTGTTGACAATAATTATTGATTTTTTTATTTTTATGACTTTTAAAATAATGATTATAACCTTTTAATCTTATAATTTTCTAAACTATTAATAGTCTACTATTCTATAATTATTTGTTCAGTTATTTTAGATTTAAAAAAAAAGATTTCTATTCAGTTTTAACTTTAATAACACAGAAAAAATATATTTAGTAAATGCATAGAAAAATCTGAAATTTGATACAACAGTGCCGTCAGATTTTATCGTCAAAATAACTTTTATTTCAGCTTTTAATACTATAGTATAGCTTTTTTTTAAAAAAAACATCTTCAAAAAAAAGGTTTACCTTATTTACCATATAAAACATGTTTACGTGTAATATTGGAGTTTAATCTACTATAAAATAAATTGAAATTGACTGTCAATTGAATTGTGATATAAAAATTTTCATTTTTATTTTCACCATCATAAATTGTTTGTCATATATATATATATATATATATATATATATATATATATATATATATTGATACCGCTTTGAAGTTTTTTTTTTGATTTATTTGAAGTTTTTTTAGACAATGAAATTGATTATATAAATTGATTGTTATAAATTATATACTGTATAATATAAGTTTATATCTGAGCCACTACATTCAGGCTGTATAGACTTATTATAAAAATATATAGTATAAAAACTCTATAATAATAACCTGGACATTGTGTGTGTGTATGTGTATGTGTTTTGTATATATTATATATATAAAAATCTAATTAAATAATATATTTTTATTATGTAATCACTAAAGCAAAATAACACTTTTATTTTTCTACTAATATAGTAAATATTGTGTGGATATATACTGTATTATACAATATATTAATAAATTAAACAAAAATAAAATAAAATAAATATAATTATAATTATAAGCAGACTCAACATGTAGTGTATTACTTGGTCACCCCATTGACGTACATTAATAGATATATTGTGCAAATTTTTGCTATAGCTTATAAAAATATATTAGTAAATCATATTTATAATAATCTATTTATTTTAAAGAGAAATAAATAATATAGTAATTTAATTATAATTGATTGAAGTACTGAAAAATTTGATCACACAATTTTAAATCATATATTGATATTAATGTTTATTACTGTATTATCTTATTTTTTTTATTTGTCATATAAACTAATATTTCTATTAGATTTATAATTTAATTTTTAAATAAAAATTTCCTGCTTAAGGTTTTTATTTAAACAAACTCAATATTTTTTTAAAAAATATTTATAAATAAATATATAAACTTTTTTAATGTGTTTATAAAAAAAACTAGAAATTGATTTTGAAAGAATAATATTTTAGATAAAAATATAATATTATATCTTAAAATAATACTTATTATATTTTACTACTTTCTAAAAATACATATCAATAAAAAATATATATACTTTTTTAAGTATATTTTTAATTATAGGTTTTTCTTTGATTTTATTTTATTATTAGTGTAAACATAAAAAAATATCAATAAGATTCTACAGTTAGTAGACTATTGGATATATTTTTTACTTATACAGTAAAAACTTTACTAAATATAAAGCTTAAGTAAAGTATTGTCCAATATATATATATACAGTACTGTATTTTTATAGATAATATTGATATATCTTTAAACTAGAATAAAAAAGATCAAAAACTATGTCCAAACATTGACTATAAGAAAAAAATACTAATAATGATAATAATAAATTAGACAAAGACTGAGTCAATGAGTGAGTGAATGAGAGAGAGAGAGAGAGAGAGAGAGAGAGAGAGAGAGAGAGAGAGAGAGAGAGAGAGAGAGAGAGAGAGAGAGAGAGTTAATAAAATATTGTATTGATTTTCATATTTATGTAGTGGATATTATTTATTTTATTTATTACTATTTCTATCACTATATATATATATATACTGTACTGTATATGATATGAATGGTATGTTATATTTTGTAATGTTTTATGGGTTTATTAAACAAACAAAAAAAATGCCAAAAAAATAAAAAATACAAAATAAAACTATAAAAAATAGTTGGAAAAAATATTTATTTTTCTCGGGTAAATCAAACTATAAAAATCATTGTTTGCGTCCTCTAAATGGTTGTATAAATATTAAGTATATAAATATAAGTATGATTGCTATGAAGTTGCCATCAAACATAATGATAATGCTTAATTTTTTTTATATTATATTATTCTGGGAATAATTGCATCAATGGTTATGAAAAAAAGTATACAATATTATCTATTATTCTGATTTATTGATTCATCTTAATTGTAAAATATTATTTTTAAAACTATTTATTAATTATATATAAATTAACTTTTAAAATAATTAAAAATTTGATATGTATTTATATATAATATTTATTTTTTTTTTAAAAAAAATACTTTACTAATAGTACTATTATATTTAATAATAATTATATACATTTAGCTAAATGATAATATAGTTGTATTATTAAAAAAGGGGAAATTTGTTTCAATCATATATATTAACCAAAAAAAAAAATTAGAAAAACACTGAAAGAGACATAAAAGACATAAAGACTCATCAGATTTAATAAATTGTTTGTCATTATCATTATGTTTTGGTGTGTTGTTTAATATAGGGATCGCAACAACAAAAAAATTGTGATCACTTTAGACATAATAATAATAATAATAATAATAACTGTACTAATTTAGTCACTAATTCATACATCATTTTACGATTATAATCACAGATTTAACCGCAAAACGATAAAAATGTTGGTTTTAGTGCTATTTGTTTTCGCCTTTTGTTGGCTACCGTTAAACGTCTACCATATAGTGGCCGACTTTGTTACCGACAATCGGTTAACTCATAACTTTTCCCTATTGATTGCCGTACACTGGTTGGCCATGAGCTCCGTTTGCTATAATCCGTTCATCTATAGCGCCCGAAACAGCTATTTTCGCGAAGGTTTCCGAAGTCTGGTCAAAATGATGTGCTGTCGGTTCAATCGGGAGGGCCCGGACTCACCCAATGGTCACAATAACGGCACAAACAGTACCAATACAGCCATTTATCTATCAATCCGACGGACATCATATGCCAACCGCAAGAACTCAGTTATGGTTAACGACAACAATATAAATGTTATGAATAATTCAATTAACAATAAAACCAATGAAAGTGTTATTTAGATATAAATATATATATAAATTGTATTTATTTTTGTTTTTAGATATTTTCATACAATTAGAAATATAAATATATTTGTTGTCTGATTGATGGTGTAATATAATCATTATTGTTATCATTGTTCAACCATTTGATAATATTATGATAATGACAATAATCATTGTGAAATATGATAACATAGTTAAACATAATAATAATAATATTATTATTATATATATTCTAAATATAATAATCATAATATATAACTTACTATAAATAATAAAACAACAATAAAAAACCTAATTTTTATATATATCACATTACTTCTAATATTTATATATTTTATTCAAAATTTTATCAATAAAAATATTTTATTATAAAATTTTATTTTTAAGATTTAAAAATTATTTAATTTACATATCTGATATTAATTAATAGAGTATACACTATATACACATATGTATGTTTGTGTGATATTATGGTAGGTTTTATATAATATGTAAATAATTATTTTTAATATTGAATTAAAATATATTTTAACAATTATATAACTGAATAAATATTATTATTGTTATTATATATAATTTATGTATAAAACAATCGTCCATTTAACCAACAAAATTAACAAAACAATTGTTTAATATCTTTGCCATATAATGATATAAAAATTATTTTAAACAGTAATATAATTTATATTTGAATTAATTATAAAACATGTTAATAAAGTTGTGTAAATTATTAATATTCTGGTCATTATCATTACTAATAAAAATTTTATAAGTATTCATGTAAAAGATTTAATTTTGTAATTATTTGATTATATAAATTTATATGATAATTAGTTTCTTACTAAAAATAACTAAAATCTAATTTATATTACATATTTAAATTGATAGTATATATATATATTAAAATTTTTATTAAATATACAGTAATATGTAATGTAAATATTGTTGAAATTTTCAACAAATGTTATTAAACTTTAATAATTAATATAAAATTATTTTTAATTAAAAATATTTATATTAACACAAATTATATATATAAGTATAATTATAGATTAAGCAATAGTTATTACAATATATATATAATTTAAGTAATTTATTATCGCAAACATAGAGATTGAAAAAATATAAGAATATGTATTTATATTAAATATATTAATGTATTTTATTTTATTTTATTAATATAGTACAATATATGTATAATATTACGATCGTATAATAAATAAGTATAATAGATTATAAATTATATAATTTGTTTTTATAAATAACATGCAATTATCATAATAATCATCAAAATGATACGATAATGTAGTGTACATCACGATAATGAATCACAATTTACTGATACAGTGAATATGTTCAACCATTATATATATCATATTTATATACTATATGTTTGTTTCACTAATGAGTAAATACTGCTATTATATAAATTTATTGAGTTATATATATATATATATATATATATATATATATTATATAACTAATACAGTACTTAATATAAATGTCTAAAAATAATGACAATTTATACAAAATGTTTATCAAAAGTGTTTTAAAATCTTTATAATAAATACTATAATCACATTATTTGTATTATTTTTTTTAATTTGATATTATATTAAATTAAATGAAATTGTTAAAAAATTAACGAAACATTTTTTAAAATAACTGTATTTAAGCGTATATTAAACGTTTAAGATTAATTTATAAATCTAATATTAATATATATATATATTTATATATATGTACGATTAGATTAAGTTATAGAAAATAATATAAATAATTATTTACTGTTATAATAACAATAAATTATTTGTATATTATAAAATAATGATATCAAAACATGCAATTGATATATTATAATGTATTTACTGTACAACGTATTGAGTAAAATATTAATATTTAATAATTCATAGTAAATCTCTACTAAATTATTGTAAAGATATTATTAATAATTATTATAAAATATATTTCTATATTTGTCTAACTATTTACCAGTTTGACTAAATTTATATTAATATATTACATTAATACTGTATATACATTATAATATATAATAATACAATATATTTCTAAAACTTTTCTAGATTTATAATTTATAAATGGGATAAAATTAAGACATAAAAAATTAGATAATTATTAGAAATTTCTATTTATGTGATATCAATGTTAATCTACACTATGTTTCACTAATAAGTATTAAATATTATTATTATTTAATTATTAGTAAAAGTTGACAAAACTATCACGTTTTGCTTCATATTTGCTTTAATTATATTTTTACTTATTATTTGTTATGTTATGCATTCACTAAATAAATATAAATTAAATTATGTAATAAATATTAAAAATAAAAACAACATTTTTGTAATTGACGACTATTTTATCTAATAATTTTTATTTCATATTTTTTTGAACTAAAATTTTATCAAATAATCGATTAAAAAAAATTAACTTACTATATATACTGAATTATTATTAAAATATATGTAATATATTTATAAATATCTTATTTTTTAAATCATAAAAATATATTATTTTTTTTAATAAATTCATTTACATATCGACCTATTTATGGCTGAAATGCAATACTCTATGATTCAGTTTAAGTGATAGCACTGACCATATATTTTATGCATGTGCTTCACAATTGCATTATTAAACAAAACAAAAAATTGTAGCCAAAATCATATATATATATAATTATTTAAAAATACAATTAAGTTTAATATGTACAGTATTATTGTATTCAACATTTTTATAAATGTTATTTTTTCTAATAATATGCGGAAAAACTAAAAGATATTTTTTTCAAATACTAAATAAAAACTTAAGGCAAATGACATATAAAATTATAATCAGCTTTTATAAATAAAAAAAAATACATTAAAAAATTAACATTAAAATAATTTGAGTAATACGAAAATTACAACTACATAATTAATACGTGAGTATTTATCATCACCTAGGTTTATTTATTTATTAATTCAAGTATTATAATTTTATAGTAATTTTAAACAAAAAATAAATAAATACATAGTTAATTCCTGTTAAAATACAAGTTAACATTGCTTTTATGTTACTAACAAATTTTTATTAAAAAATAATTAAAATTATTGTAGTAATAAATAAATATAAATGTATGTATAAATTGATATACAGTATATACCAGTTAAGAATGCTAGAAAGCATTTTCAGAAAAAAACTTGAATAACATTGAAAACCATTAGTTATAGCGGCTATATAATATATAAAAATTTAAAAACTGGTCAAATATACATTATATAAATATTGTCATGTAGAGTATCAATTGACTCGATATGACAAAATAAACAACTATAGTCATGTAGGGTATCAATTGACTAGATATAACAAAATAAATTCAACTATAGTCATGTAGGGTATCAATTGACTAGGTATAACAAAATAAATTCAACTATAGTCATGTAAGGTATCAATTGACTAGGTATAACAAAATAAATTCAACTATAGTCATGTAAGGTATCAATTGACTAGGTATAACAAAATAAATTCAACTTTTGTCATGTGGGGTATCAAATAACTCGGTTTGACAAAATAAACAACTATAGTCATGTAGGGTATCAAATGATTTAGTATAACAAAATAATCATTTATAATTATACTTTTGCCGCTTATACTTATTCTTAATGTTCCCGTAGATATCAAAATTTTAATGCATATTTTTTTACTTTTGTTTTTGATTCTTTATTCAAATCTATAATTAAAAAAAATTCTAAAATTTTTTTATACTTTTGCCGCCATTTTATAAAAATATGCTGAAATATTATATCATATTTTTGATGCTCTTTACAATTCTAAACGTTAAAATTTTTACCTAATTTTTGTTACTTTGGCCGCCATTTTCTTTATGATCCCGAAGAGATATGAAAATTTTAATTCATATTTCTTATGCATGTTTTTGATGCTTTATTCAAATCTATACTTTAAAAAAAATTTCTTAAAATTTTTTTTACTTTGGCCGCCATTTTGTCCATGTTCCCGAAGAAATATCAAAATTTTAATGCAACTTTTCAATACATTATTAGTAGTCCTCTAACCGAATCTGAAGTCAGAATTTCAAAATTCGCAAAAAAATTGCTACACACACACACACACAAAAGGCTCGTATAGATTTCAGAAAACAAAACTTTTCAAGTTTTTTTTGAATATTAATATAATGAATAAGTTTTACAATTATAACAAATTTTAGTAATGATTGTAATTTCTTATATTTTATTCATATATATTTTTTAATAATTAAATTTGATTTTTCTAACTAAACTTATATAAAATAATTACAAGTTATTCAATTCTTTATTTCTGTTATAAAAGTATTGTATTATTATTATTATTATTGTACTAAACATTATAAACTTTATATAATTATTTATTTCTCAATATTATGGAAACAAATAAAAATAAAATTCTAATCATATGTTGTAATCCTATTGTAAGTTAATATCAAAGTATTAGAAAAGTATTATTATAATAATATAAGTTATTTACATAATAAATAAAAGTATTTTATTTAAAAAAAAAAATAATTTATCGATTTTCTAAAACTAATTCATAAATAATTTTGGCACAAATATAAGCAGATTAACTAGATGAAATTTGTGTAAAATTTGAATCATATTTATAATATAAACTAATACATTAAAAATAATATTTTTTACGAATATTTTCATATACAATTTATTTAATATTGAAATTATTTGAAAACCTAATAATAATAATCTAATTAAATTTAAGCTCATTATAAAATTAAATAATAATAAAAAAAATGTATTAAATAAACACAACGGAAAAGTCACTAAACAGGATTATATTACTGTTTTTATATATAATATTATTATTTTAAATATTTTTGTTTAATACTTTGAATTATTAAAATATAAATTTTAAATTACTAATTTTACCAAAAGCTATACAATTTATTTTTAATAATGTATTTATTTTGAAAAGAAAAACATTTTTTTTCTATTAGTTTGGTTTGTTGTTTAATTTAGAAATTTTAATATTGTTAAACAATTATATATTTATTTTATTTATACTTAAAATACTGTAAATAGTTGGATATCTAGTGAAGATAAATACAATATTAAACCAAATAAATTATCAATATAATAAAAATTAGTTTATAAGTGTCTAATTCAAATAAACTATAATAATTTTTTTTAAGGATATACTTGAAATAATTAGATATAAAAGTAATTAGTATTAAACTACTTAATAATATAAATTACTTAATAAAATGAAATTTTTCAAATTAATTTCTAATAATTAATTACAAGTACTAAATAGATTAATGTTATTGTTTCTGTGAAAATAACAGTGAAAATCAATGCAAAAAATATTATCTAATAAATTTTTTATTTAATATTTTATCATAAAATATATTAATAAACATTTTTGTCACTTTAATGTTAATTTTGTATCAATATTTAAAAAAAACAAATGTTCGAGTTTTTAGATTATAAATTCTAATGAATTGCTAACACATACAACAAAAATATAATTTTAGTTAATCCTTATAAATTATAATAATAAAGTATATTAGTTTTATATATATATATAATATATACAATAATCACCAAATAAATTACTTCAATAACAAAAACATGTGTTATCAGCTAATCGTCCAATACTAATAAAATTTATTTATAAAAAAAACTAATATCTATAATAGATAAAATTACAAATATTGAAATAATATATAAAAATAGGTAAGTTATTATAATAATGATTTTTATATATTTTTTATTAATTAATTAATTATTTTTGCACACAATAACTTGCAATTATGAAATTAATTTTATTTTTGTTCACTTTGATTTGTATCGCATATATTGTTAATGGTAATTAATAAAATAATATATTTATTATTTGAATTAAATACAAAAATATTTTTTTTACTTATAAATACTAATAAATTGTAGGCCAGGATGATAACGTCCAGTGCACTGTCGACAACTGTAAGGCACCGCACTGTTCATGTTTTAGCTCAAGTGCACCGTACGGTCATAAAACCGATGACATCCCACAGTTTATTATCATGAGCTTCGATGAGGCCGTACGAGAGGAGTCGGCCGACATCTACGACCGTATACTCAACTACACGAATCCGAACGGCTGTCCCATTGAGGCCACGTTTTTCGTATCACACGTCGACACTAACTACAAGCGTGTGCACGAACTGTATCGTAGAGGACATGAAATTTCTACCCATTCTATAACGTACGACATATATATATATTTTTAATCAACAATGTTATGTTTGATGAGATAATAATAGATTTTTTATTAATATAATAATTATTTAACAAATATATATATATATATATATATATGTATAGTAAGACAGTGTTGGGGGGTCAGGAGCACTGGAAAAATCTGGATGTCGATGGCTGGAGGGCTGAGTTCGGTGGTATGAAAAAGATTCTGTCAAAGTATGCCGACATTCCCATCTCAGCTATAGTCGGCGCCCGCGCCCCGGAGCTACAAACAGCTGGAAATGTGACATTTACTGTAAGACAATAGTTTCTAATTATAAGTATTATTATCAATAATAATGATAATTCAACTTTTTTTATTTAATTAAAAAATATTTCTATTGAAAAAAAAACTAACTATAGGCGCTCAAACAGGAAGGTTTTCTATACGATAGCTCACAACCATCGCGCGCTTATTCAGCTCATCCACTGTTTCCCTATACTCTGGATTTCGGCTTTCAGGCCGACTGCCAGATCCAGCCGTGTCTGAAACCCGATCAGATCTATCCGGGCTTCTGGAGCGCACCTATGAATGATTGGGTCACTAAACTGCCGATTGGCGACAATAAAACTATTGACGTACCCTGTGCTGAGGTGGGCTCATGTATATTATATGATGAAAACGGTACTTACATCCAGAATCCGACACCCGAAGAATTTCTCGCCGTATTTGAAGACAACTTCAATCGCTTCTATACTACAAACAGAGCTCCCTTTCCATTATTCTTGAGAGACGCGTGGCTGACCTATGATGAGAAGCGTATCGACGCTCTCATTGAGTTTATCGATAGAGTGACCAAAAATAAAAACGTCTATTTTGTATCCATCAGCGAAGTTATCGATTGGATGGGACGGGGAGCTAATAATACTCTATTGAAAAACTTTAAGCAAACCAAATGCGAGAAGAATCCGCCCAAAGACAAGTGTGGCGTTACCTCAACTGTAGGTAAGGGTAACTGTGAGTACAAACACATCAAAGAGCTTAAAGGTATCGACAAATTGGTTGTCATCTGCAATGATGTCGAGTGTCCGCTAAACTACCCGTGGATTGAGTCGAAACGTAACGAAACTTTTGATGAGGATTTTGGTGATGAATATATCGATTAACATATGTTTGATAATCATAGAGAATCTTAACTCTTTATATATATTGATTATACAGTACTGACTCAATATATTAATATATGTATAAATATATAGATATAATATTATTAATGATATATCAATAATAATAATAAAATTATTTATTTTTGACGTTATATTATAACTTATATATTGCGATATACAGTATTATTGTAACATCTCATATGATTTCTCGCTGCATAACTAATATAATTTATATCGTATTCATTTGATATGCAATATTAAATGTACAATAATTTCTTGTTATAATACAATACTAATCAAAAAAGCATTTTTTCAAACATAAAAGCATTGATTTTTATTTCTATGGCTATAATTAATGTAATAAATTACAATTTGATATATCAATGCGTTATAAAGTTTGCATAAAGTTTAACTAATGACACTAATGGACATACAGTAGATTATAGTTCAAAAGGAAATGCCTACTTATATATATATATATGTATAGAAATTTCTTCAACCATTAATGTATATTTATTTTATTTTCTTTTATATATATCATATGAATCATATGATCTGACAATTTCAATATACTGTATTATATATATTATATATAGTATGTGTTCAGATAATTTTCAATTCAATGATCAAATAAATTTCAAACGATAGTTCAACACCTGTTGTATTTTTAAGTAATACAATCAATACATTGATAATAACGATAAAAAAAATATATTCAACATTTTCCACCTAAAAGCAATCATAAAAAAAATAATATGACTGGACTGGGTATCACAAGTCAGTCAGTTTAGAGTGAAAGAAAATTATTGATTATTGAAAAACAAATTGTATTTATACTGTAGTTTAAAATAAATATTTAAAAAATATATATATATAATATAAAAATACAGTAAATAATAAAATTTGTTTTTAAATATTAATATTATATATAAGAAATGCATATTAAAAAATTTAAATTATTTAAATACTAATAAACAAATTATTTAATCGACTATTTTTAGTATACCGTATAAACACTATTTATATTTTTCATTTAAATATTTATATTTTATATTAAGTATTTTTTCTAATATGATTATTTAATTATTATCAAAAATATAAAGATAATTTTTATTTTTATTCATAATTTTAAAAATAAAGATTAATAAAAATATTATAATGAAAATAAAAATTATTAATACCTGCATGAACTAATTAAATACTGAATAATTTTATGAGTTAAATTCACTTATTTAAAATAATTAATAAATTTTAGTCTATTTTTAAACTAACTTAAGCAGAGAATTAATTATTTAAATTGAATTTAATATAAATTTAAGATGTTTTTTCAATAAATAATTAATTATTAAGTTTATTTTATTTTGTTAATTTCTACTATTGTTTTATTTATATTTTAGTAAAATTAATTAGTATTAAAATAAATAAGTAGTATTATAATATTATTTTTCAAATTTAATCTAAATTATTCAAATAAGTAAACTTACAATTATTATTATTATCATCATTTAAGTTACATATAGAATATTCTGTAAAATTATTATTATCTATAACTTATAGACTATAAGGAACATCTACTCTAACTTAAACACTCAATTCAATTCATATACCTATAAATATTATACTACCAGTGAAATCTACCGGTGCTAATACTGTACATTACTATAATCATAAATTATGATTCATAATGTTATATGCTATTAAAATAAATGTTAAAATAAAATACTAAAAACATGTAAAAACAAATTAGTTATTATTTGTATAAAATTTAAAAATTTCATAAATAAAATTTTGTTTGTAACACTAAAACTCATTGCAAATTATATTTAATTAGTAATATTTTCTTTTACTATAAATAAACAAATTTATACATAATGTTTATTTATTAATTAATTTAATAAATATTTCATAATAATTATTGTTAATAATAATAAAATATAAACTTGCTAATTGAAATTATAAGTGTGTTTCTACTCAATAGATTTAAAAATAAATTTTGTTTGTCATTACATTTTCATATCTTTATTATCAAATTAAAATAATAATAATAATAAATTATTGATATAAAAAAAAACTTTCAACTAATATTCATATTTAATATTTAATATTTATATTTAATATCAATATAATATTTAGTATTCAATAACAAAAATAATCTAATCATAAAATAACAATTTTTTTATCTAACTATGTGAGCTTTTAAATGCCTAAAAGTTATACATTTACATTTGTATATATATAAAACTGTAAATTATAATAATTAAAAGAAATGTTTTTAACTTAAAAATTTTTAGCTAATTGTATATTAAATAATAAATCAATATGAGGGCATTTGAAAATTTATATTTTGTTTATCTAAATATCTAATGTATACATAAAATGTATTTAACTATTAAGTTAAATATAACTTTTTTAATTAAAAATAAAAGCTCATACATACAGTATATATCGTAGTTTTAATCACATTTATAATACATGTGTTATAAACATGGATAAGCAAATTACTTCTAAATCTATATACTTAAATGATTAGTGCTTTTTCAATATTACTGTAAATAATAATAATATCATAATAAATAATTTTTTAAGAAAAAAATAACAATAATAATAAAATAGTCATTTGAAATATAATAACATCAAATAAAAATTTATAATAAAAATAAATTTAAATTAATTACATCTGTTTAACATAAAAATTACTGTACTTTATATTACATATGTATAACATATATATATCAATTTAATGAGTGTATATGTATTTGTTAAATGTGTTTATTATAATGTTAACAATTAATGAAATGATTAGTACCAATGTTGCACTTATTTTTTTGTATATTTTAAAATATAGTGTATAATGACATCATTTAAATCGTATGTCGGAGTGTTTGAAAAGTTGCCCAAAAAAATAAATATTATTCACAGGCAATAGTGGTCTGACCCGTATTGGCCGTCACTTTGGTCTGGCAGCTGATTGCGTGCCTTTTGCACCAGTCCTGAGTGGTAAACAGTTTGCCACACGAACCGCACGAAAATTTGGGCCTAAAGTCGCTGAAGTGGGTGTGATAGTGACGGATCAGTTTGGACTTCTTCAGGAATGTCTTACAACACACCGGACAGGTAGTCATATTGTTGGCCTGTATTTGTGCTAATAGTCGTTCGTATTCTGTAAGAATCGGAAATAAATATAGAGGACAGGTATTTGTGAGTCAATTGTTGGCACATATATCTAGATTATATAATAAGTGGTAATAACTTCAAGTCATATTATTAACCTTCAATGGTTTGTGGTGTATTGGATGGAATGATGTCGTACGGCCTAAACCTACCGATTCGGGTCGAGTCGACGATTGGCCAGTCGTTCACATCCGGATCGTTTTGGTCCATACATTCATCGCTCAATGATATCTCTTGTAGTTCTGATTGAGTGATAGTTTACTATCAATAACAATGGATTATTGATAGTGTCAATGATTCTTACCATTGTCTGCATCGTCCTCTTGTGGGTCAATGGGAACGATAGCTTTGCATACATTGCTACCACTGCTGGGATATTCATAACTTGAATCCTAAATGAGGAAAACAATTAGCAATAGTTGGGATTAAATTTATTTAAGACAATGAATATCAAAATTACTTCTGGAGTAGACATGGATTGTTCAAGAAGTTTGGTCGGTTCGATGTCGTCCATACACATTGTTATCTCCCGGTTCTTGTCTTTGACAGAAATTTCATCTGTATTTTGGCTTAACTTTTGTATTTTGTTTTGTTTGTCCCGATAATTGCTATAATTAATACCCGATTTGTCTGTATTGCAACTAATATTACTATTGCTATTATTATTATTATTAGCACCGGTAATGGTTAGTAGGCCGTGTTTATCGACCAGTTCCTCATCACTCGTCAAATTACCACTTATTACTAATTTGTCAGACATATTGACATTTTGATTGTCATTGTGTTGATGAACACTGGGATTAACTTTTCGTTTTCGTCGCCTATTCCTTGCGAGCATCGATTGGACCGTTTGCTGTCCACCACTACCACTACTGATGCTGACAACACCACCACTACTACTACTACTTCTAATGGGCGACTCATGTCTGTCCCTGACATCTGTCAAACCTTTAATACATAGTGTCTCCGCTGTCTTCAATAGTGAGCTCAGCTGATCCTGAGGTACGTTCACTTCACCCGTATATATAAAGTCGATAATCGACTTGAGGTCAGCAAATATGACGTCCTTGAGTATGACAATCGGATGTTTGCACGGATTAGCGACAAACAGATTGTAAAAGTAGGGACTGCTGGCGGCCAACACCATCTTATGGGCCTTAATGTTGGCCCCATCGCAGGCAACGGTACAGTCGCACAGGTTTTCGTGGATCAGCATATTTTGAAACACTTCCGACAGGTTCTGGTTGAAGCTGTTCCACTTTAGACGGTATTGCGGCTGATTTAAAGCCATGTGTTTGTGTGTTATTTTGCGCGCGTGAGTGGGTATGTATGTATGGGGGGAAAGGAATCTGTAAAAATCATGTTATATAATAATGACATACAGTATATGTAAAATAAAATTTTTTTAATGATAAGGAAATATTAATAATAGAAGGAAAAGTTTGTATAGCCTTATCCCTTATCTATCTCTATCCTATCTACCAGTGCTATGGCAATGGTATGCTTACTATGCAATACAAATTTATACATGATTTAGCCTTTCAACGAAAACAGGTATTTTTCAGTATTTCAATAGGAAAAGTAAGTCATCTCTCTCTCTCTCTCTCTCTCTCACACACACACACACACACACACACACACACACACACACACACACACACACACACACACACACACACACACACACACACACACACACACACACACACATTCACTTGCAAACTCAATATATGTTTAAACCTACATTTGGTTAAATATTTTGAATTTCCTACAATACAATATTATATGGTATTCATATTATAACGTAGTATACATATGACATAATATCTATTTAGTTATATAATAAAATTGTTATATACATTAAATATACAGTACATATGTATTTTTCACTGTTATTTATATATTAGTATCTATCGTATGTTAACACAAATACTGTATATTATGTAAGCACCAAAAATAAAAATTATTTAATTTTAATATTAAATACTACTGTATTGTATAGTACAGTAACAATCTACAGTGGACCCAATACTATCATTATATAGACTAGATAATTGTGATCCAGGTCATTGTAATTAGTAAAATTAGAAAGTTAACATTTATTAATACATACCCAATCAAATGCTGGACAAATTGAGACAAAAAAATGGATTTTTTTAATAAGAAAAATAAAATAAAACACCAGTGTTTGGATTTTTTTCTTCTAATTATATATACGTATATGTTTTTAGTATATACAGGTATATCACAAAATAGTAATATGTATTATAGCTTGGAGTGCCTAAGAGACTGACACAACCAGTAGTATACTATGGAGAGACCTAACCGATGCTGCGCTCAAATGAACCACCAGTTGTTGTGGTCTCTCCATAGCATAGCACAGGGGCGTTGAAATTTCTATGTATTATCTAATGACGTGGACGGACCTAACAATCAGGCACTCACTCCCCGTATGTAGGCTTTGGGTCTTTCCATTTGCTGTGTGTCGGTGTGTGCTAACTCACTCAACCACCACTTCTCTCCCATACAAACCATTTAGTTAGGGAAAAAAAGGGTACAAACATTGCAATCATATAATACATGCGCTTAGCGTTTGTACCGTTTAATAGGGAACTCCAGGTATTGTAAAAAACCTAATTGGCCTAGTTAATTATCCATGTATGATTATGTATGTAAGCGTTTTGTATTTAATGCTCAATGTTAGGCATATTTTAAAGGGATAGTCATATCTTAATTGAACACAATTACGATATAATGTTGTATATATATAATGTTTATGGATATGTAATTAACATTATACACTGTCATCATTAACCCTCACAGCAGAAGTGATTAGAGTGTAAATATTAAACATAAATAATGTATAAATATTACAATTAAACTTAACCCCTAAATACATAATATAAATAAATAATAATAATAAGTAAATAATAATAATAAATAAATAATAATAATAAATAAATAATAATAATAAGTAAATAATAATAATTTAATTTTAATAAATAAATAAAAATAATTATTTTAATAAATTGTTTACACATTTTCCTTCATTTACATAACAAACATTAATTCGTTTTATAAAATTATTAACTACTTTATTATAAGTTTCATTTTTTATATTTTTAAATGCATAAATTAATCTATTTTTTAAATCCTCAATATCTGTAGGCAAATTATCATATTGCATAATTTTAGATTTTATTGCACCCCACAAATAAAAATCACAAGGCGTTAAATCGGGTGAACGACTGGGCCAAATATTTGGGGTTTTTAAGCTGACCAATCGATCACCAAATACTTCAGTTAAATATTCAAGTGTTTGGTTTGCTATTTATAAAAAATAATAATATAAATAATAATATAAATAATAATATAAATAATAATATAAATAATAATATAAATAATAATATAAATAATAATATAAATAATAATATAAATAATAATATAAATAATAATATAAATAATAATATAAATAATAATATAAATAATAATATAAATAATAATATAAATAATAATATAAATAATAATATAAATAATAATATAAATAATAATATAAATAATAATATAAATAATAATATAAATAATAATATAAATAATAATATAAATAATAATATAAATAATAATATAAATAATAATATAAATAATAATATAAATAATAATATAAATAATAATATAAATAATAATATAAATAATAATATAAATAATAATATAAATAATAATATAAATAATAATATAAATAATAATAAATAATTAAACTGATATCAATTGTAAATGAAATTAAATTTTATAAATTATACCTGTGTGGCAACTGGCCCCGTCCTGTTGAAAAATTTGGTTATTAAAATGACGGCCAGTAATTTTTTTTAACTCAGGGACGAAATAGTTTTGTAACATATTTTGATATGTTATTTGATTAACAATCAATCGTTTCTGGTTTTCGTCTTCAAAAAAATAAGGACCAATAATACCTTTAAAAATATAAAAAAAAGTAATCATGTATTTTTATAAAAATGCTAAACATTTAAATATTAAATATGTTTGTAATGTCAACGATTGTGGCAAATGTTTTACTAGAAATACACATTTAAATCAACTGATATTACAATTTAAGTGTTCAGTAAACGAGTATTTGAAAACATTTACAACAAAAAATAGATCATTCAATTGAACCACAATTTATGTGTGATTACAATAGCTGTAGAAAATATTTTACAAATTTAAAACATTTAAAACAATTGTAATAAAATAGATACCTTGACGAGAAATAGCTGCCCATACAGTTACATAACTTGGATGAGTAGCTTTTTCAATTACGAAATCAACAGGTCTTTCTGTGGCCCAACACCTCATATTTTGCTTATTTATGTAACCATCGAGGTGACAGTGAGCTTCATCCGACCACCAATAATTATCTAAATAGTCTAAATAAAAAAATATATTAAATGTTTGTAATGTCAACGTTTGATGCAAATGTTTTACTAGAAATTCACATTTAAATCAACATAAATCTAGCGTTCATTTTAATAAAAAGTTTAAGTTTTTATGAAAATTGTAATAAATAAATTAAATAAATAAATTAAATAAATAAATACCTGGTTTGTTTGCCAATTTATTCATCATTTCAAAACAATATTGTTTTCTCATATTTTCATGTTTTTTAGTTAATTTTACAATAAATTGTAATTTATAGGGGTATAATAGTAATTCATCAGTTAATATTTTGTGTAATGAGCCATAACTCATTTTAACATTACGTAATTTTAGTTGATTTAATAATTGATTAATTGTTTTAAAATTATGTAATAATTGTTTAATTAATTCAATATTATTATTAGTTACCACTGTTTTCATGTGTGGAACTTTAAAATTGGTTTCAACTCTTTGGTCATTTTTAAAATCTTTATAAATTTTTGTTATTGTTGACCGATTTGGAGGATTTTTATTAAATTGTTGTTCAAATTTTATTTGAACATATTTATCGCGTGATTTAAATTCTTCAGATTTTTTAAATGTTAAATATGTTTCGATGATAAACACTCTTTCTTTTGGATTATAATATTTACTCATTTTCAAGTATATCACAATTAAAATAAAAAATATAAGTGAATTCGTATTAAATTGAAATAGACTTACAATTAGTGTTCAAATTGCATAAAAATATTATTAAATATATAATATTAAAATAAATTTATCACAATTTACTATTTTATTAATATTGACTAAATATCACAGGCTCTGAATTATAAAATAAAAATATATAATTATTGTTATAATAGCACAAAAACATGTGCTCAATCCCCCCCTAAACCTGTTTTTACGCGCGTTATTTTATAGAGTGACTCACTTGAGCCAATGTTTTGATGTGACGGTTACTGATAACAGTGTATTATATGGCATAACCATATGATAATTGGATTAAATGTAACGATAGTGTCAATTTGTCAATCTATTATATTATTTAAGTTTGCTATTAAACAAATTAGATAAATAACATATAAATTGTTATTATTATGTTATTATTAACAAATTGTTTATAAATAATTATTTATATATAATTTATATACTATACAAATACTGTATGTTAAGTATTGTACATTTACTCTTTTTTTATTATTAAATAAAAATAATAAAAAAAACGCATTATAATGATAGTAATTAATAAAGATAATAACGATAATAAAAGTAAACTATTTGCTAATTATACAAAATTTTTTATGAAAAAAATAAATAAATTTTTTTACAATGAGATTATATGTATTGATAGCTTAAGACATGTGTAAAAGTTGTTTTAGATTATACTTATATTATAGTTAGTGTACAAAAAAACATTGAACAAAATTATAATATAATAATAATAATAATAATACTATACAATTGAAACCATGAAATAGAAATATTTTCTATAAAACATTATTATTATTAAATCAATTTCAAGGTTAAAATCTTTTGAACAATACGGCGCTAATTATAATATACAACTCGGATAGGGCTGGCATTACACTGAACAATGAAAATATCCACCAAAATAGGCTACAGTCCCAAACATCAGTGATGAAATAGCATAGACACATACAGGCCAGTGCGTGAGCTAACAGTGCTGACAAATTATTTATAAAAAAAAACAACAAAACAAAGTTATCAACAACAAAATAAATTATAAAGTAATTAGATAAATGAGTTATTTTTAAAAAGTAAAAATTGAAATATCATATTATCCTTTTTTTTAGGTTAGCAGTGATTTTGTTGTTGTTTTGAAGTTTCATAGTTTTTAGATTTAAGTGAAAATTGAAATTTTAAATAATAAAATTGATTAACACTTACAACACAAACAGTGCATTGAGTTGAACATTGAAAAACCCGATAGGAATCCTAAAAATTCAATGACTATGAATATCAGTGATAAGGATAAACCAATAATTAATCTGAAATTATTAATATTTAAAAAAATCAATAAATTTATATACAATTTAAAATAAAGTTAAAAAAACATAATTAGTTAGAAATAAAAAACAACATTAATGTAACACTTACTCGACATCTTTGGCATAATATTCAGATTTTTCAAATTCCCAGTGAATACATGATCTAACGCTATGATCCTTAAATCAAAATAAATAACAAAATTAAAAAAAATAATAATTAAATAAAATATAATTTAAAAAAATTAAAGATTAATTAAAAACTTATCAAGTTGAAACTTATTGCCAGAATATTCTTAATAAATAAACTATAAATTAATATAAATTGAAAAACAACACCTACTCTATCCCATAATAACAGTATGATAAGCACCAGATGGCCCATCATCACAATAAATCGCATCGGTATCAATTGACTGGCCACCATGGTCATATTTTATTTAGTAAATAATAACAAATAATATTTTAAAAAATATATTATAATATAAAATGTTGTGTGTTTTGTATGTTTGTTTGTTTCAATAACTATTAAAACATTTCATTGCATAGCAACCATAATATTTAATTTGAATTGGGCGCTTATTACATAACTTTTTTTTAATATTATACACAGTTATATAGTTATATTTTTTATGAAATAATTAGTGATGTACCGATTGTAAAATGCGCAATTGCATTGCTTGGAAATTGCGTGAAATTGCCGCAATTGCAAAAAGCTCGATTGCGAAAATCGCAATTGTAACATAAAAAAATTTATAATTTTTAAAAAATTTAAATGGCAAAGCAATATGAATAAAAACAAATTAATTATATAAAATTTAATTATTTTATCATAAAATGTTGACATCTAAAAACCATGTAAAAATAATAATAAATTAGTAAATTCTCTTAATCTATTGTAAACAAAATTTATAACATTGTCAAAATTAATTTTTATACATTCCCTCATGCGCGCAATTTCAAGCAATTTCACGCAATTTTCCGCAATTGCGGCAATCGAAAATTGAATTGCGAAAAATTACCAACACTAGAAATAATATTCAAGTGATACAATTGATGCGCCTAAACGTTACAATAGTAGAAGCCAAATATGGGCGGAGCTTATATAACATTCATATTAAAGTCAATTAGTATGTATATGTTAAACAATAATCTATGGATTGGATAGTTGAGTACTAAATACTTTACTATATTAATTGATTTTTTGATACCAATAATAATTATTGTAGTATTATTTATTGTAATGTAGATGGCACCTACCTGTGCTAATTTAATCAATAAATTTATTTATATAATTTACAGTACAATCTAAAGTAATCTAAAGGTATTACATGTTTCCAAAAAATGTTAACAATTTAATTTATAATTGTTTAAAAATAGATAATTTTAAATCAAATAGTATTACTGGTATGCAATTAATTAATGATATAAATTGTTATTTAAGAAAAAATGCTAAACATTTTATTTGTCACTTTTTAAAAAATATAAAACTAAAAAATATAAATGTATATAAATTTTATTAACAATAAATTAAAAATCTACAATTTGTGGGATAATACTATAAATTTATATAAAAAATTAATTACAACTGATTTAATAATAGGAAAAATTTGTGTCTTTCTCTAATATAATATTATTTTTGTTATTATTAAAATTAATAAATATTATAATAGAATAGACAATAAATAAATGAGAAAAACTTTAATATTTTGTTATTGTTATTAAACTTTTATTTAATATGATTTATACTAGTTTTTAATTATGAATATTAGTTATTAATAAAACATTTTTACAATTAAAATATTAGTTTTTTATGATTTATATTTGCAAATTTGCATTTATTTATTTTTATTATCAAATAGACTTCATTATTATCTTTTTTATAATATGAATAACAATTGAATAATATTTGGTTTTTATTTTGCAAAATAAAATATTAATTGTTGTCAAATAAAATAACTATAATCTGACAAATATTTCAATTGGAATATTAAATCAATTTAAAAATGCGGTAAATATTTTGCTAATTATTTAAAATTAATTGTCTAATATTATTATTTAACAATATTGTTTTATAACCAATAAAATAGCTAATTTTTAATAATATTGTGCAATATATTAATGTAAATATAAAGTAAATATGTTTAAAACATTTACTATAACCGATGGGCATAAAACCTTTACTGTAGTGTCAATTATAATCTAGACTCTTAAAGTTCATTAATATTTACACAATATTTATATAATTAATGGTCAAATAGGGGGACAAAAATTTTTCAGAAAATAATTATATATAAAGTCATTGACAGAAGGGTGGTAACTGGTTTTTGGATACTATCTCTATAACCAATTGAGCTAGAACAATATAAATTTTTTAGGAAACATGGAATCATGGAACGGATAGCATAATATAGTTATATTATTTCTCATTGCGCTTATGTAGCTTAGCACCGGTATGTGCATTATCTCAAAAACTACAAGAGATAGCACAATAAAACCAAAAGTATAATATACTAGGTAAAATTTCATTAGACACGTGTTTCAGGATTTTTCTAAAAATTATATCGTTTTTTAACAAAAAATTAAAAAATGGGAAAATTATAAAACTTTGATATGGAATATTAAAAAAGTGTCAAGGTATTTTATAAAATTTTTAATAAAATTAAATTTTATTTTTAATGCAGAATAATTCGTATATTAAGTGTTTTTAATTAATTTAATTAAATAATAGTTTATTTAATATATTATGTATTTAATGTATTAATATAGTAAATTATGTAATTAAAATATAAAACATGTTATATAATAGAAAAATAATGATTATTAAATAAACTATTATTTATTGAAATTAATTAAAAATACTTAATATACGAATTGTTCTGCATTAAAAATAAAATTTAATTTTATTAAAAATTTTACAAAATACCTTGACACTTTTTTAATATTCCATATCAAAGTTTTATAATTTTCCCATTTTTTAATTTTTTGTTAAAAAACGATATAATTTTTAGAAAAATCCTGAAACACGTGTCTAATGAAATTTTACCTAGTATATTATACTTTTGGTTTTATTGTGCTATCTCTTGTAGTTTTTGAGATAATGCACATACCGGTGCTAAGCTACATAAGCGCAATGAGAAATAATATAACTATATTATGCTATCCGTTCCATGATTCCATGTTTCCTAAAAAATTTATATTGTTCTAGCTCAATTGGTTATAGAGATAGTATCCAAAAACCAGTTACCACCCTTCTGTCAATGACTTTATATTTATTTAATTTTTTTCATAAATTTAATTAAAATATTTTTCATAATTTATTAATAATACAATTAAAATAGAAAATATATTTTAATAGAAAAATCAATAAAACTAATTAGTTTATTCTAGCTATCCGGATAAAATTATTTTTTCAAAATTAATATCACACAAATTTTTTTTTCTAAAATGCATAATTAATTTCCTAATATGTAATTATGTTGGTATTGATTATTTAATTACAATTTATATTATTATTATTATTATTTAGTAACAATTGTTTTGTTAATTTCCTGAAGCAATAACTTTGGTTGAGATCTGTTCAACGATTTTTGATTGATATTCAAATAAATTGTAACTTTTTTCTGTATATGTAATATCGGGTATTCAACGATTAGGGCAAATATAAAGGCCAACAAATAGGAGCCCAACCATATGGATAAAAATATCATTGACTATTTTAAATTTTAAAAAAAATTAAATATATTACTATCCAATACAAGTAAATAAATTAAATTTTGTTTAATTTAAAAAAAAATCTAACCATTGAATATCTACTTAGATCGACCCGTTCCCTTAATGTACCCATAAAGGTCCACAGCCACCATACATGGGTCAGGTAGACAGAGTACGTGAGCCGAGATAACGGTACAAATGCTTTCCAACTGAGAAACGTGTTGACCGGTCGGCCGTAACCGGAAACACAGCCCATTATAAGCCATAGTGTGCTAAATGCCCAAAAAAATCGGCATAAAGTGTACACAATTGCAGCTATTAATGGATGATAGGGTTTGCCATAAATCCAGTAATACGAGTCATACGGTATGCCAACAAAACTGATTACAGTTAATATCCAAAATACTGTAGCTTTTGACTGATAACGACAATAAAAATGATTGTTATTCAAAAAAAAATACTATACATAAAATTATATTAGAAAATAATAAAAAATAATTTTTTTAAATAATTCAATTACTGTAGATATTTTTATTTGATAGTTGTTGGCCAAACAGTAACCATAAATGAGACCAACAAGAAAACAGGGGGCGTGTGAATAGGGTTTCCAAAATAAATCTCTCACAAACTCATCAAATAATTTGCTATTTTATAAAATTAATTTTTTTCTCATTTGTAAATTAATTATTATTTTAATTGATAATATAATTAATAGTCAATATTTTGTTTACCTCCTCTGCGTATTGATGACCGCAGGAGGAAATTGGCGGACATATATGATGGCAGCGGTTGTCAATCCAAATCCAATCATAACCGCCGTATTTAGACTCATACCCGCCGATCGACTCCTGTAAAAGGCTATTATAATCAACAATGAGATTATATGAAACTGCATATCACAGGACAGGTACCACGTGTGTAATAGACACTATAGATAATTGTAAAAATAATAACATAGTTATTAAATTAATTAATTATTTTTTTGGACTAAATAATCTGAATGTTTTTTTTTCTTAACAAAAAATAAAATTAATATTTACTATTTGATCGACATTTATATAATTTTGTAAATAAATCAAATTCAACCACCAGTTTGTTGTGCACCTGTCGATTATAGGCTCAACAGTTTCGTGCCAATAGGGACCCGAACTGACCAGTGGTAATAAAAATGTAAACAAAATAAATAGCCCTAACAGTGGTGTCAGTCGTAGATAACGGGACATCAAATAGCCTAACATAGAGAAGCCGTTTCGGTCGCCATTGGTTATCGAAAATGTTACATATGTTGTCAATATTCCGCTATTTTTTGCAATAAATTTATATTTTTTAATTAATTATTTACTTAATAATTACATCATTTAATACCTGATGACAAAAAAAGTGTCGACACCGTAGGAGGTGTTCAAAAACGGCTGTAAGTCAATAGCCGTAAATATATGACGGGAATCAAAGGTACGATCTGTAAATTTTTATTGATATTTAAGATTATTATAAAATATATTTAAAAAAATGATGTTATTTTGTATAAATAGGACTAACCGAAGGCCTGGTAGTTAGAATAGAGCATACAATGGCCTAATATAACCCATGTTATTGTTACTACACGTATACCGTGAATACAGGACAACGATTGAGATTCAGTATCAGTGGACATAAGCTTATGTAGATTATGTCTCATTGAAAATGCCGTAATTATCCAATCAATATGTAATGGCCAATCATTTTGATAGATATCAAGCAATGTTGACGTTATGTTCAATAATATAAATGCAAATAAGACGGATCTGTTAATGAAAAATAAAATAAAATTTTTATCTTTAATTATTACTAAATACTATTAAATGTCAGTAAACATCAGTTAAAAAGAGTTACTAAAAACTACTAAAAAAAATTGTTTATTAAATAAAACTAACATTACTTATAGAAAACTATTTTTTATAAACAAAATAATTACTATTGAAATACTACAGTATATATATTTTATTGTAATTTAAATTATATATGACATCATATTTGCATAATAATAAATTATTTTCTAATGAATTTTATTATATAAATGTGTTAATATAAAATAACACTTACAGTGCAAACCATTGGATACCAGTTAACAAATCAATTGAAAATGTTTGCTGTGTTTCGCAATGAATCTTACGATTAACTATATGCCAGTCAATGGCAACTAAATTAAAACATAAATTGATAAACAATAGTATTATAAATCAAATTGAAATGAAGTGGAAATAATTTTTTTTAAAAAAATCTACAAAAAAAAATATTTTTAATTAAATAAATAAAATCAAGTGTTTATACATTTATCAGCTAAAAATTTAATATCTGCTGTCGAGCACTGGGAGGGCACACAGATGCCCACTCTCCATGAGATGTAATACAAATAGGCTATGTTGTCCTCAATGTGACGAAACACATTGTTTGCCGATATATTCAATTTGGGATCAATTAAAGTGATTTTATGAAATATATTCAAGTTGTCGGGTGTGTCAACCATTGGCGGCACAAAATCCAAGAGACAATACTTAGGTTTAACTAATTGCTTATCATTTGATTGCTGAAGGCACTGATCATAGGATCCTACATCAGATACGGCACCACTTAGAAAGCCCGGAGCCGGTAGTTTACCCCATGAGTTGAGCACTTATGGCATACATAAACAGTTATTTAATCATAAAATATAACAAATTTATCTAAAAATAATAATATTTTATATAAAAAAACATATTATTACTTTTGACTGCCCAGAGCTCCATATTATCCAAACCATTGAAAACTTGTTGAACACTTTGAAAGCATTTGTCGGTTATATTATTTGTTTTAAATTTATAGGTATTTATATTTGTCGACAACTTTATAAATTCTTTACGATATTTATTTGATATAAATTTCATAAATGATTCACTTTTATTAATCAATTGTTCCCAATTTAATAATACATTTGCTTTACTGTTATTATTATTTGAATTAATATCACTTAAATTTATATTATTGCTTAAATTTTTACTAGAAATTATATGTATAAACTTAATAATAAAAATAATAAAACCAATATTAATATATTTACTGTTAATCAATTTCATGTTTATTATGTTAGTTTATTAAACTAAAAATTAATATTTATTATTATTATTTTGTTATTTATTTGTTTAAAAATTATTATCAACAAATAAAACAAATAAACATATTATTTTTATATAATTTTTACAGTTAATTATTATATCTTCTTATTTGTTAAAAAAAATTAATCATAAGTTTAGTAGTATTGACTAACAATACAAATACAAATAAAATTAATAATTAATATAATTGTTTATTTTATTTATTTATAAAACATCAAAAATTTAAATATAATTTTTATTATTTCAATTAAAACAAAAAGTTATTGTTTTGTCATTATTAATGTAGTTTATATCATAGGTTAACTTAAATTTTAAAAATAAGTTTTGTTTGAACTAAGTTTTTAAAAAATTAGATAAAAACATTTTACACACATTTGACAAAACAGTAATGAGTTTAACATAAATATATTTCCCTTTATTGTACTGTAATGTCATGCAATGTAACAATTGTTGTCTATTTTTAAATACAGTAAACTTATTATAGCATCACTTATAGTTAACATTAGTTTATATAGTTTGTTAAGTTTTTTTTGTAGGCTAGACCTGTTATAAGTTATTACCAATATCTTTAAAAAATAGGTTTATTATTATTTTATTATTTATTTTATTATTATCATTTATAGCTATTTAGTTGTTGTTTTTATTTAATTATAGTTTTATAAAAAACTAAATATTTTAGAAATTAATTATAAAATTAAAATTAAGTAAAACTCATTTTTTTGTGTCTAATGTTTTTAAATGCAATAAAAAATTAAATGTGTTTTCACTATCAAAAAGTATATAAAATATTATATAAATTTATTAAACATCACCATTTGTTATATTTAATTTTAATAATAATTTATTTAAAATCATTTAATCATATATTATCATAAGTTAATCCATTTTAACTTAAATTTCCTAATTTATAAAGTAACTGATTATTAGACACAATTCATTGAACATTTAATGATTGTTGGTCTCTAATCATTAGAAACTGATGTTATGATAAAACAATTTATTGAATCTTGAAGTAATGGGAAATATATATATATATATAATAGATGTTTTTAAACAATACATTTATTGAATTCAGTATATAATTGAATCTTATGTTTGAAAAAATAGTTATAAACTCGATTCAATTAATATAAAATACATTGTTATATGATTGACTTAAATAGATAGATAAGTGATTTATTATTATTTTTTATTTTTGTAAACTGTGATATCTTTACTAAGCAAAAAATTAATTTTAGTAAACTTTTTTGGACAATAATTGAATGACAATTGAAAATATTTTCAGATACTATAAATAAATAATAGTAATTTACGACTATTTGTTTTGTATGTTTTTTGTTTTTAATAATAAACAAAAATTATTATAGTTTAAAAGATAATAACAATTTTAACTAATTTACGATATATTTGTCATTAATAATATATATTAATTTTAAAAATAACAATTATATGTTGTATTTTTATTTTCTGTGTGTGTGTAAAATACTACATTAATTAATAAATTATTATTAATAAATTATATAAATAAAATATTTATTAGTGACATAAAGTTTTAGAGATTTTAATAATAAAGTAAAGTAAATATTTAATTTTTTTCAAACTAAATTTGAATACATTAATAGAAATATTAAAATAATGAATTAATCTATTAATCCTATTATTTTAAAATTTAATTTTCTATTTGAATTTTAAAACTGTTATAATATGTAAATTTTTGTTTGTAGTATATTTAATATAATACATACTATTAATGTTAATTGAGTTATTAAAAAATAAATAAAAGTTTAATATTATTAAAATTATTGTTTTATATTCAGTATTGAGTGGGTATTAAATTAATAATTTAATTTTTTTTAATAATAAATTATTTTTTAAATAATAATTTATATATATTACAATTATAATATTATTAATTTTTTAATTTTATTGTTTAGTTAAAACCAGTTAAGAATGCTAGAAAGCATTTTCAGAAAAAAAACTTGAATAGCATTGAAAACCATACGTTTATATTATTATAGCGGCTATATAGAGTAACATTTAAAAATTTAAAAAACGTCAAATATACATAAATTAAATATTGATATCAAGTGACTCAGTATGACAAAATAAACTACTCATATGTGGTATCAAATGATTTAGTATAACAAAATAAACAACTATAATCATACTTTTTAAAATTGATAATTTTGATCTATAATATCTTATTTTTAATGATCGTTAAAATTTCTAAACGTTAAAATTTTTACCTAAATTTTTTTACTTTGGCCGCCATTTTCTCTATGTTCCCGAAGAGATATCAAAATTTTAATACAACTTTTCAATACATTATTAGTAGTCCTCTAACCGAATCTGAAGTCAGAATTTCAAAATTCGCAAAAAAATATGCGACACACACACAGACAGACAGACAGACAGACTCAAAAAGCCATTATAGATTTCAGTAAACAAAACTTTTCAAGTTTTTTTTGAATATTGATTACTTATGTGTTTTGACAATTGCGTTATCTTATATGAGTTAAATAATAATTTTTTTTAACTACTTGTTATATACATGTAACTAAAACTTTGCAACTTATTCTATAATATACTGTATATAAATATATTTTTACTTATTTTTTATAATAATTATATAATTTATGCTAAATAATGACACTAAAAATAATAAAAAAAAACTCATTTGACTTAAATGACCAATCTCATTTATAGTATTATATTATTATGTAATAATTTTCTAGTTAATTGTATCAGATTTAAAAAATAACAAATTTGATATACTGTACCTACTAATATATTTATAATGAAATATTTCATTTAATAATAAAATGTTTACTATAGTTTGTTGTAATATTATATCTTAATTTAAGTGTTAGATACTAAAATATAATTCAGTAAACAGTAGACTACATATCATACACGGAAATGATTTTTTTTGTACATTAATATGATATATATATATAACAAAAATAAATCTTGTACTATTATAAGATATTATTTTTTATATATATTAAAATAACTTATTTTTTCATAAAAATCAATTATCTTTGCTAACTTGAAAAAACTATATTAAATTATTTTCTTAATAGAGATAAAAAAAATATTTTTTTTAGAAATTTATTGTTTTTGTAAATAATAGATTTTTTTAGTTTATTTGTTTGTGATCTCTATAGACACTGTATTTAATTATATTCTTTATATTTAATGGATAAACTATAATATAATATTTCATTATAGCAGACATAAGACACAATTATCTATAAATTATATATAATTTCAGATAATGCATAACACAATTTATAATACTGTATTACAAATTAATTAATATTTATTAAATGAATTAGAAAATTAATAGAGAAATATAATATGTTTAATAAATAAATATCATATTTAATGTAACAATCAGTAAAAGATAAAAATAGTGAATATATTTATAATATTGTATAATTTGTAATAATTTTTTAAATATACGTTTTACATGTTTTTATATTTGATTTATAATTAAATATAACATGATATTTTTACAAAAATTTATTATCATTTATATTATTATTTTTTTTAAAAAACATATAAAAAATTTTATATAAATTATTTTTTAATAATAACAATATGTTAACAAATATTCAGTTATAATTTTTATATATATTTTTAATTAATTAACAAATGTTTGTTATAATGTATACATTATTTTTAAGCTGTCGCTATTGTACAGTGTATTGACTATTATTAAAAATATTAGATTCAATAGTAATAACTAAAACATATATACAGTATATATAATAAAATAGTAATTATAGACTTTTGATAAAAAATAAATATCTTTTATATAAGTAAATGTTTTTTTTTATTAATCTATAGATCAAATTTTTTATAAAGTACAATATAGTAAAAATGAGTTTTTTTTTAAAATGATTAACTTAATTTAGTCTAATTTGTTAAATGTCAAATTATAAAATATAAAAATAGATTGAAATAATTTTCATTTAGAAATATATTGAAATTGAAATATGATAAACCATATAAAATATATATCTCTAATTTAAAAAAGTTTATAAATTTTGTTTTAAAAACAAAATCAAATAAAACTGTCATTTATTAAATTTATAAATAAATTTTAAATAAAAATCAAATAATAAGTAATAAAAAATATGTTAAATATTATCAATTGAATTGAATTTAATAAGTATTTATTTTGTTTCAACAAATTAATAAGATTTTTTTGAGAGATTAGAAAATATTTTGAAAATAAACTTTTATTTATTAATCGTTAAATCTTATTCTTGACAAAAAAATATTATTAACTAAAATATTATCGCTATAACTAGAGATGGGAATATAAAAAATTGCTAGAAAATTTCTCGGAAATAAATTTCAATAGAAATTTAACTTTATTTTTATACTATGAGATACCCATATCTATAGCTATTTTAATACTATACTAATGAGAAATAATTTCATAATATACATAAAACATATAGTGCACATACTGTATATATATGAAATAATTATTTAATAATAATCAGTTTTGTAAAATTTATTCATCATTTTATTTTATAATATTAGAGTTTAATAAAATTAAATAAATAAATTTTAATTAATATTTAAAAATATAATAATATTTAATTATAACGTATAAAAACAATGTATTGATACAAGATAACAAAATTAACCATGGGCATCACATAAATAGAAATTTCACTTTTTTTTTGTCTACACTAGCTATAACTAAAATATTGTAATTGCATTATTGACATAAATTTAATAGTTATGTAAATATTTAGTTTTTGAAATAATGATATTTTCAAATATGTTATAAGCGATTATTTTGATTGTTAAGTAATTTAAATAAAAAATTTTTAAAAAACATTATTATTTTTGAATAATTTTAAAAATATTATTTATTTGATTAATAAAATCTTTTAATTTACTATTACTAAATTAAATAACTAGTATTTCAATTTAAATAGTTTCAATAAAAATCTTCGACTTATTATTATAATTAAAATTTTATTTACTTTTATATAACTTATTTATTTTCTAACTATAAATAACTTATTTAATATATTAAATAAAAGTCTGAATTTTATATAACAATGTTTATTGAAATGAAAATCTGTCAAACGATAGATTCATTAAATTAAAATTATATATAAAATAAAATCAGTTGAGAATGCTAGAAAGCATTTCCATACGAACTCCATATCAAAAGTAGAAATTTTCTATTTTATTCTCAATGTTTTTGAAGAGATAAAAATTTAAATATAGATCCCCTTATACTTTATTTTTACATTCTTTACACAAATCTTAAACTTAAAAATCAAATAAAATATTTTTATTTTATTTTGGCCGCCATTTTCTCTATGTTCCTGATGAAATATCAAAAATTCAGTGCTGATCACTATAGTTTATTTTTGATACTTTATTCAAATCTGAAATCAAAATGTAAAAATTCGATAGATTTTGTTGGACAGACAGACAGACAGACAGACAGACAGACAGACAGACCGACAAACATATAAAATTCAGATACTCCTTTCAGAAGTTGTGAATATAATGTATAATTAAATGATAATAATAATAATAATAATTACTAATATTTAAAATAACAATTACTTATAAATTTATACAAAATATTTATGTTTTTATTTCAAATGTTTTATTGAAAAGTTTCGTCAAATAATTAAAATACTAAATTTTTTTACTAATATTTTGTATATTAGTTATAATTATTTTTAAATACACATTCATTGCTCTATATTTTGACGTTTGATAAAAACAACAACAAATAATTATCATTGTTTATGGATCTCATAAAACAGATTTTTTTTTATTTAAATTACATTTACATCACTATAAGTGATATTTTGAAAATAATTTCTTTTTAAGTGTCAATTTAAATAAACACTTATTTGAATGAAATTGTTATAATATTATTCACACAAATGTTTTGTAAAATTTGATTTATTATAAATAATAACTTTGTATAATGTTATACTAAATATTATATACATCTACAATATATTATTATATTTAACTATATATTACTAGCTATACTACAATGTATAATGTTTTTAAAATATATGTCTTTTTTAGTATATGTTTTTAAGATCTGTAATATTATATTTATAAATATTTAAACATAAACTACACAAAACATTTTAATAATTTAGTTTAAACAAGTATAAAGTTTTTATATAAAATTACATAACTTATAATGTAATACAAATACTAAATTATTTAATAATAAATTATTAAAATATTTTAGTATTAAAACAAATATTTACTATATTAAATACAAACATAATTTATTATATTTTGTAATATAAAAAAGTGTTAAAATATTTGGATAAATAAATTATTATTTTTTTGTTTAAATTTAAAAAAATATAATTTGCTAAACAAAATGGTTTATTTGTATAAATATTTTTTTTTATTGTGTCTGATAACTTAATAATAATAACAATTACTGTGAAAATTAATAATAGAAAATATTTTCAATTGACGTTAATAATAAAATCAATTGTTAAAAAATACATTTTTTTTGTAATATTTAGTTTTATATTAAAGAGTTTCTTACTAAATATTTTTGCAAAACAAAATAATGTCAAAAATAAACATTTATAAAAATTAATTAATGTGTAAACAAAGCTATTATTTATTGATAACAAATTATTATAGTATTATTATAATTTATTATTTATAACTTAACATAATTATTTTTTATGTATAATACTATTTCTATGAAAAAATATTTTTAATTATTAAAAGTATTTTAAAGATAAAATTTTGTCAATAGTTTATATATTTTGCAATTTTCTAATAATTATAATAATTGAATACAAAATACAAGTAAACCAATAGTACTAATATTTAAGAATTAATAATTATTCAATATTTATATTATTTATTTCAATAAATATTGCATTTATTTTATTTAAATAATATTTGATATCTATTTTAATTAAATCACAATTTATTTTAGATAATATATTTCAATTTGGTAATATATATATAACAATCAACAACAAAAAAACTAAACAAACACACATATACTGAGACAGATACAAAATTATTATTTATTTACACATATATTCACTAACCATCTCTCACTCACTCGTTCACTCACTCACTCACTCACTCACTCGCTCACTAACCATCTCTCACTCACTCACTCACTCACTCACTGACACATATAAAAGTCTTGTTGAGAGCACGCATGTATAAGAATATTCTGATTCTATATATATATATTATACAAGAATATTCTGTGTCCTTAAAACTTGATTTGACTAACAATACTATCACTTCAACTCTCACTACTTCTGGCTTAAGAGTGTTTTGAAACTTTATTTTATAAATATAATAATAATAAAAAAAAATATTTTTTTATTTAAGTATAATTGATGTACTTGTAAAATACAAGTTGTATAATAATATATATTTTTATTTATAAATTAATTTATATTTGTGTTTAATTGCTTTAAGTAATTTTATCAATCAATTAACAAAATAAATATTTTGCTAACTATGAAATTCTAATAATGTGTTTAAATATACATATTTTTACTTTTATTAACAATTTCAAGTATACTAACTATATTAATTATGATTATGTATTAATGTATTATTTAAAATTATAATATTTGGACATTAAATATTAAATTAATTTTTTATATAATATAAAATTAATATAAACATCTTTTTAATAATTCAGACATCATTACAGTGTATTGAAATAATATTGATATAACAAACGCAATAAAAAATATACTGTAAATAAATAAAAATAAAAAAATATACAGTATATATATAAAAGGTTAACATAATATAAATACACTATAAATATACTTTTTAAAAAACTGTGTATAATTTATATATAAGCGTTTGCTTTTGACAAGTACTTAAAAAATTGTGTAAAAACTATAATAATTTATTTAATAAAACTATAATATTATATTTACTATAAAGATAATCTACAAAAAAAACAACTAATATTTTTATTAAAGTGTAGTAACTATGAAATGCATTTTTGTTATTTAATATACTTCATATAATAACTTAGTGTTGAGAATTATATATATATATTATACAGTATTTTATTTTTATATTATTTTGAAATAATTTTATTTATTAATTTCTATTCCGTATATTTAAGATTTAGATTACATATATATATATATATATATATATATATATATATATATATATATATATATATATATATATATAGTAAACATTTATATGAATTTAATTTATTAATGGATGAAATTAGAAATCAATGTTTAATCTAAACAAACTTATATAAAGTAAATAATTGTTGCACTTTATGTATATATATATGAAGATCTTCAATCTTATATTATCTAAATCAAAAATAATATCTATACTACTAATGGTCATTATATATTATTGTGTTAAATGTGGTATTAAAATTAGTATAATAAATTGTTGATAATCAATAATTAAGCTGTAATTAAACTAATATCATATAATCACTTCAATCTACTGTACTAAGTATTAAACACTATATACAATATATCTATTATATATATTATTAAATACTATTAAGTCTACGAAAAATAAAATAGTCAAACAAAATGAATATATCGGTGCCATCGATATCATTGACAACTGATGGAGACGAATATGATGAGGAAAGTATAGTAAAGCTCTGGGAGCTATTCATGGCCAACAATATGAGCCAAATTGATGACAATATTAACGATGAAAATTATTTGAAAAACACAATAATTATAACACTGTATTCATTGATATTTTTGATATCAATTTCTGGCAATTCGTTTGTGTGTTATATCATAATAAGTAAGTGTCAGATGAGGACAGTCACCAACTACTATATCGCTAACCTAAGCTTCTCCGATCTATTGATGACATTGATTAACATACCGTTCAATACGGCCCGACTGTTGCTGAATGACTGGCCATTTGGACAGTTACTCTGCAAGTGTGTGCCATTTATTCAGGCTTGTTCTGTGTAAGTATCTATTATTTTTATAAATTATTTTTAATTAATTTTATAATTTGCATAACATTTTCCATTAAATAAACACCATTTCAATAAGTGTTTATAAATTTAATAAATTCTGTAAATCTATTTATATATGTATATACATAAATATTATAGGATATCATATTGTATTTTATTTTTATATTATTCCTGCACTTTATGTAATAAAATAAGTGAAAGTAAATATTATTGTAATATCAGATACATAACTGAATAAAATTATTTATTTAAACTTTTACATTACTATATATTAAAAGAAAACTGTGTTAAATATCAAAAACTATAGTATTTTTTTATTGATAACTATGAAAGTTTCAACAAATCATAAAAACTAAATCAATATAAATAAATTTCAAATTTAAAAAATAAAAACATTAAAACATCTACAAATAAAATAAAATTAAAATAAAATAATTTTTTCTAATTGTTAGTTTGCCATCAAATTTTGATTAAATTATAAAAGATAATAATTGAGTTAATAAAATACATTAACTTGATTAAATATTAAGATAGTAAATTATTTTCATAATTACTACTCATAAATAAAAGTTAACGTTTATTAAATTTATAAAAATTCTAACTTAAGGTTAAAATAAATATATTTATAATATTTAAGTTTTGTTTATTTAATTTAATAAAAAAAACATGAAAAACATTTATTTCTTATAATTATTCATAATTACTAATCTATTTATAATTCAATTTAATTAGTTTTTTTTAATTAACACATTGAATCTATCTAAATATATTTAATTTTTAGTCTTAAATGTTTATTTAGTAAATAACTTTTTATAGTAGTATAATATATCAACCAAAAAAAAAAAAAATACATATAATCTGATAATATAGAGTTTCTAAGAAATTTTCCATTTATGATTATTTCATTAAATCATAGATCAATATGCAATTTAATATTTAATAACTATTTGATAAATAGCATATGCTTTTATCAATATTTTTTTTGTTATTATATTCAAACAGATAGAAAGCTTTCACAAAACATGAATTATAAATAAGAAACTTATGTAATAAGTGTTAATGCAATTTTTATTTTATAATAAGTGTTTCAATATTATAGTAACAAAAACAATGTATCCAAAAATCTAATATCATTGTAGTTAAACATCTTTTTGTTTTGTTTATTAAATTAACTAATTTTTGTTGTTGTTGTTATTTTTGATTAAATTAGTTATTACTTACATTTACATAAAATTATTATACCTGTAGTATAATGTATGATATTAAATAAGTACTGTATGTTTAATTTGAAACTTGTGATAATACAAATTTCACAAACTTAATGCTCATTTACTTTATATATTTACATACAATATATATATATATATTATTGTATGTTTAGTTAAGTAATTATTTTATGCAAAAATTTAATTATATTAATATAAAAACATAATTTTTAACTTATAATAATTACATACTAATTTAGCATATGATAAATCTAGTTATCAATATTTTGTTGTATTTATATACATTTAACTAAGATTAATTGTCATTGAAAATGGTCTAAATTTACATATACTTTACATCAAATTAGATGATAAAAATTATAACTGTGAAATATTTTGAATTTTTTATTTAAAGTAAATACTTTAGATAATATACATTTACGTAAAAATTATTTGAATTTTTAATTGTTTGCAAATTTTTTTTCGCATAAATAGTTACAAAGTCAAAAATTTATAATTATATTATTAATATAATTTAAATATTAACTTTATTATAAGTATCTGATTTTTTAAAAGATTGAAATTTTTATTCAATAACAAAATTTGTTTACTGAAAAAATTACATAATTAAAAATATTAATAAAATACATTATGTAATTTTTGTATTTTAAAATGATTAATTATCTATTTTTAAATTATTTAAATGATTTTAATATTCTGAATACAGTATTGGTTAATAAATTATATAATAAATGATTTTTATTTACTAAACATAATTATTAAATTAAGTTCATTAACATTTTATAAATATTTTATTTAAATTTTAAGCATCAGTTAACTTTATACCATTTTTTCAAATAATTTTTTAATTTACTAATTATTTAGGGATTGATTTGTTAGCATTAAAATATTTAGATTATTTAATTGTAAAATCAGAAAAACACTCAGTAATCATAGTTAATGTAAAACATTTGGTAATTGTCGGCAAATATAAAATAATTAGATTAATTTTGTTCACTTTATAAATGCAAATGCTGTTTACATACTGTTAAAATACTATCATATAATTTCAAATAAAATGTAAATTAAAATTAGTAATCTATAATATTACAAAATAAAAGGTAATGACCCTATCCTTAAATACATTATTATTATATATTTTTGTTTTTATATTTTAAGCTTAAAAAATCATTTGAAAAATATACCCAATTTAAGACTAATAATATTATTATAATAATAATATTTTATTGATCTATAATAACTTATTGATTGTTTTTATTTTTGTATTATATTTTTTGTTGTTGAAATTGGACTTTAAATCCTTAAACTATAGATGAAGTATAAATTATTATCAAAAACAAGTAGTTTATATTTATTTATTTTTTTTATATAATCAATAGTTGTTAGTCAATTATAAATAAAGTTATTAATACTTATGGGATTAAAATGTTGGAAACAATTTATTATAAATTATAATTTATAGCATTAAAAAAATATTTATTAATTTATACTATAATATACTATTATATATATAAAGCAATTTGTGTTAATCAATATAACCAATAGATTTTATATATTTAATTAAAAAACTAATTGGACAGTTATTATCAACAAAAAACTAATATTAAAGTATAAACATTTAATAAATACAAAAACTACACGTACAAAATAAATAAATAACTTTTTTTATGTCTATAAAAAAATAACAATATTTTTTTGTTGAAAAAAAACTCAAATAAACAGTAATCCAAACAAATAGGTTTGTTATCACGTTATTTGAAATATTGACAATTTATTCATAGCTAAGCATTTTATTTCACACACAAATATATATATATATATATATAACTATTTTATTGTTTTTTATATATATAAAACTATAGCTATGTGTCGACACTGACGATGTGTGTAATTGGTTTGGACAGACATCAGGCAATACTCTATCCGTTTGGCAAACGTCTGAGCGATGTATTGCCCATAAAAGCGATTATAGCGCTCATGTGGTTTGTGGCCTCACTGTTATCCCTTCCGCACGCCTACTTCAATCAGGTCGAGCCGATTGAAGTACCGATGTTGGCCTACACTCTGCCATTGGTCCGGTGCCGTATGCGACTACCGAAGCCGGAGCTACGGTCGCGACAAATATTAACAGTATTGACGTTTAGCTCCCAATATCTGATACCACTGTCCATAGCGACCATCTCTTACTGTAAGATTGCTCTCCATATCCATCGGCGACAGATTGTTGGAAATATAACTCAACAACAAATTGCTTACAATTTGAGGTAAAAAAAATTATGTTTCAATTTATTCATAACACATATTATTATTATTATTATTTTATCTTTACTTAATTTTATTGTTTGCATAAAATATTCTAATATTATATTACTAAAAATATTTAGATATTATTATATTACAAATTATTTGAATCATACGTGACTTATTTTTAAATTAAATATTTTAGAAATTAGAATTATTTTATATAATTTTATATATAGAAATATTTTATTATAATAAATTTATTGCATGATATAATATTTAAAAATTATACTGGTTATTAAATTTTTAATATCTTTGTATAAAATATTTTAAAAATGTTGTATTTTTGTACCTAAGCTTATTCAAAATATTAATTTTAAATATTTAAATTATGAAAATATTAAAGTTAAATAATGTTTTAATCTAAATTAATATATAATTCATAGAAATAAAGTGTATATCTATAATATTAAAATTATACGAATAAGTTAATATAATTGTTTTTTTACAAAAATTAAAACATTATTATTAATGATGTAGATAAATTAAGTGATTACTATATTAAATAAATTTTTAATTAACTTTAAAAATACATAATTAGATATTTCCAAACGACTACTTATGATTGAATAATATTTTAATATTAGAAAATATAATAAACATTCTTTAAAAATTTAATTTAATAAAATAAAATGTGTTAATTTATTATTTGAATATTTATATATATTATACTAAATACAGTATTAAATGTAACTTTAGATTTCTAGAGATAATAATTAACTTTCAAATAACTTAGTTTTATTAAAACTAAAATTTTTTAGTTTAGAAAATATGAAATATTTTAATAATTCATAGATATTAAACTTAAGTTTAATTTTTAAAATATTTGTATAAAAAATTATTTTTTTTAAATTTAATAAGCTGGAGACAATTATTGTTATTGTAAATTATAAGTCAATTATTATAAGATTAATATAATTGTGTTTTTAATCTTTTTATTAATTTAAAGCATATACAATAATTTCTTATAATCTTTTAACAATGTTTTGATTAAGACTTTTTTTATTTTTATTAATATTAATACAAATGTTAATAAAAAAAATAATTTCCGTAATACTAGTTTTGTTTGATAACTACTTAGTGATATATTTTAGGTTAATTTTAGGCTATAATTAATTTTACAAAAATATTTTGTAATATTTTAATTGTTAAAAATAAGATAACTAAATTAATGCTTCAAATTAATATACATAGTTTATTTGATGTTTATTTTTGTTATTTTAAGTTACTTAACATTTAGAGATGGGCGATAAGAAATTTTTAATAAATCTATTTGGAAAAATTTCTAGTAAATTTCTCAGAAATAAATTTATATAGAAATTTTACTTTACTATTTTACTATGAGATCCCCATATCTATAACTACAGCATTTTGCAAAATTATTGATAATCAATTAAAATCAATTTTAAACATATTTAATAAATTATAATTAAAAATTATCAATAAAAAAAGAAAAGTAAATATAAATAATATAAATAATTGATTAATTAATATTTAATTTTTTCTCCATTGGCCGCAATGCAATCCTCAACCCGTCGCGGCATACTCTCAATGAGAGACTCCAGGTGATTGGGGACAACCTCATCCCAGATCCTTTGGATTTTTGAAGTCCAGTTGGCTATAGATCTGTCCGGGTCTCTTTCCAACTCGGACTTCATTATCCCCCAGAGGTTTTCGATGGGGTTTAAGTCTGGAGAGAAGGGTGGCCAGTCCAAAACGGTATACCCTTCTCTCTCCAGCCATTCCCGAGTGGATCGGGCTTTATGAGCTGGAGCATTGTCTTGTTGGAAGACAACACCATCTGGGTACAATGCCCAGATGGTTTCCATATGCTCCGCGAGGGTTAACTGGTAACCCTCGGCATTGATGGTCCCTCTGGTCATCATGAGTGTGGTGGTACATCTCAATGAGATACCACCCCATATCATAATGGCGGGACCGTGTCTCAAAGATGCTCTGGATGGTCGTTCCCGACCCCAGAGCTTAATTGTGTTGCGATAGAGTTGAAAATAACTCTCATCGCTAAACACACTTTGGACCAGTCCCGCCTCCGGTTAGAATGGCACCATTCTAACCGGGTATTTTTGTGGACAGGAGTCAGGGCCAGTGTCTTTTTAGGCACCCATTTCCTCAGCCCTGACTTCTTCAGTGAGCGCCAGACTGTTGATTGATTCACCGAAGGACTTCCTCTTTGGTGAATCTCTGCAGCAATGTTTTGGCTGCTCCTCARAGGGTTGTTGAGGGCCAGTTGTGTGATGCGTCGCCTGTCGTTGACATCAAGTTTCGATGGGCGACCACTTTGCGGGGCTCTCTCGGCTCCCAAGCCGGCCTCGAACCGCTTAACACAGCGGTAAACGGTGGCCGGGGGTATCTTCGTTACCGCGATGAGGTCTTTAGCCTCAGATACCCCCCGCCTCCAGTGCCAATGGAGTATTCTTCGGGCCTCTTCTTCTGGTCCACACTTTCTGTTTTCCATGCTTTTATAATAACTTTTAAATATATTTGATATATCATATGATATATCAAATGAAAGGTATTTTAATCCTTTATTTGATTATTTACTTATAATCACTATATCTATAATAATATAAAAGTTTATCTCTATTTTAAATTTTTAATATTTTATCAATATATTTGCAAAATGCTGTATTATAATACTATATTAATGAGACATACAGTATGTAATTTTGCGGTATTAACTGTTTGCTACTATCGTTAGCACAATTCAAACAAAAAATATTATACTTATATTTTAATATATTATAATTTACTTTCGAAATCTCTTTAAAAAATAAAATACATTTTAATTTAATTCATAAAAGCTGTTTATTAATTATTTTAAACATTATCATTAACATTAAGTTATAACTTTATATAAGCATACTTATTAAGCACAACATTGTTTAGTAATAAAAAAAATTACTATAATCTAAAAATTATATAAATATATTAAAACTTTTAGATATCCACATGTTTTGTTGCATATAATCAACATTATTAAATTAATCCTCAGGTTTTATGCTAAGCACATTATTGTACTTAACATAAAAATGTTAAAATATATATATATTATATATAATTTAGATATTACAACATACTATAATAACAATATTTAATAATTTATAGTATTAAAACAAAAAATTAAATACAGTACCAGAATTTTTATTAGATTAAAAATACAGTAAATAATATAATAATATTAATAATTCATTTTCATTTTAATCGATTAACAGATCTAATCGCAAAACAATAAAAATGTTGGTTTTAGTTTTGATCGTATTTGCCATATGTTGGCTACCGTTAAACATGTATCACATTTTGATGGACTTTTGGCCGCAACTGTTTTCCCATAATTTTATTGTCTTCATAGCTGTCCACTGGCTGGCCATGAGCTCTGTCTGCTATAACCCGTTCATCTACAGTGTCCGCAACTTTTACTTTCGACAGGGAGTCAAAAATTTGCTAAATTTTCTTATTTGTCGTTACAATAAAATCGGACGATCGAGACATTCACCGGAAAGTATTGTATCAGTCAATACACGTATTACTAATTCAAGTATTATTAGACAACAGACCTGTAAGACGTCTAGTGAAGAATCGATGGAAATGAATGGCACGACAACCAAACAGACAGACCTTACGGCAGCAGACAATGACAACAATAATAGTACGTCTAATAAGTCAAACATCCGATGGTTGGACTTATGTAGAACTGCACGCATTCAGACTAACAATACTAGTATTAGTAATGTATGAGAGAAACAAAGAGAGAGAGAGAGAGAGAGAGAGAGAGAGAGAGAGAGAGAGAGAGAGAGAGAGAGAGAGAGAGAGAGAGAGAGAGAGAGAGAGAGAGAGAGAAAGAGAGAGAGATGGAGGAAACAAAAAATAAAATACATATCTTATACAAAATGTACTTTTATTTATATTAATTTATTTTATTACTTATATATATATATATTAGATGTATAATTCAAGTAAGGTATATTATTATCTATTTATTTATAAATATATAAATATAAAATATACAAAATATCAACTATTATTTTATGATATAAATAATATATACAGAAATATATTTAATTCGTTTATTAGTAAAATAAATATATACAAACACAGTATAAATACAGAATATTCTTGAAATATATATATATAAACAGTATTTTAATAAATAAAATCTTTTATTTTATTTATTTTATATTTCAATAATAATTCATATTATAAATTAATACATTATTTATAATGTTTAACGTACAATGTATTAGTATCATATTATATTATGTATTATTGTAATGTTGAAAATAAAAACAATGTATTGTATATTCAATTTAAATAAATAAAAATAATTTTTGAAAAACTTTTCATACACTCTATTAGTAATTATATTATTTAATAACAAATAAATGTAAACAAATATAACAAATTTTATTTATGTATTTAAATTAGATTAAATATTTAAGTATATAATTCAATTGATGCTATATTTTATTACTATTATTATCTAGTTTTATATAAAAAGTTTTCTTTGTACTAAAAAATAAATCAACATTAGTGATTGTTTGTAATGTTTGTTTTTACATTAAGTAACTTTAAACAATTGCGTTAATTAATTGGCACATTTTGTTGCAAACGAACTTAATTTTTTATTTTAACTAAAAGTTAAGATAATATTATTTTTATCGATATAAACATTTATTTAATTAGCGATTACATTATATTAATTTGTTTAAACAAATGTCAATAATATTGGCTCAATACTGTCATTAAAAAGCAAATCTTTAATTTATGACAAATAAAATATTTATTTTAACTAATTGTAAAAACTATAATAATTTTTGTTTTCTGTTTGTAAATTTTATATATATATAAACAAAATTTATAGTACTATAGTATATGTTTTTTTTAAATATTGTTTAATAAAATACATATCATATATATAATTATATGAAACTTATATGAAAGTTTAAGTAATACAACTGGCGGTTACCCTATGAGGACATTTCCATAGGGTTTATGTTCAATGACTTTATTATATTAGACATGCTGTCAATAAAATGTTATTTTATTTTCAACAATAATATTATTTGTTTGGACATTAATTAGAAAAAAGAGAGATTTATTTTGATATTAAATATTTGTCAAATTTACTATTATACAGTACATATAATAATAATAAAAGCTAAATAACTTACTAAAAATAACAACAAAATTAACTTATAGATTTTTTTAACTAAATCATATTATAAAAGTCTCGCCAAACATATTGACTAAAAAACACTTTATTAAATAGTTTTGATTAAATATATTTGTTATATAATACTTTATGCTGTATATATACAGTATATATATACAATATATATAGTTTTCTAATCATTTAATCTAAAATAACATTTAATTATCTTTTAATTTTCTTTTTTCGTCAATTTTACGTACAGTGTCTATGATTTTCTAGACTTAATTTATTTGATTAGTTATTAACTAAGTAATAATATACAATTATTTTATGCAATAAAAACAACAAATAAATCAATGGATTGCATAATCAATTAAGCAATTTATTATACAGTAGTAAATAATACCCTATTATTAGTTGAAAATCGTGTCTTGAAATAAAAGGTTTCTTTTATTTATATTTGTTTTGATTTTATTTGATTTCGAGTCCATATGTAATGTCCAATCAATTGGAAATTAACATAAGTATTGGCTAACTATACGTAATATTTACTGAATATTATGTTTGTAAATGTATTAGTAATACTGAACTATAGTTCAGTATATATTATTTGTCTAATTTTGTTACAAAATAATAATTAGATTTTATTTTATGTTAGCTATGTTTGTAAAATTGCATAAATTAATATTTTAATGATTTATATATTTAAAACATATTTGATTCAAATATATTAAGATAATAATATAATTATTTTTTTAAAAACTTTTTTCAAAAATTTTATTTTAAATATAATGAAGTTATTTAAGATGATTTAATAGTTTATAATATTGTTAGAGTGTAAGTCTTAAATGTAAATAAATAATTAAATAATATTTAATATCTATAAAAATTTATTTAATACTCTTTGTGATTACATAATGTGTTTTATAATAAGATTTTTATCTAAATGATATAGTTTTAAACATTATTAAATTTATATAATAATCTAGAATAATGATAATTTTAAATATAATAATTTATTATAAAAAGTTTTTATTAAATTTTCATATTAAGTTATATTATAAGTTTTATTAATGTATATGTAATTTTTTTTTTATTAGTTTATATAAATTTTTATTTATTTATAAATCAAATGAATGCAATACTTTTGAAAAAACTATATATACTATATGCAACAAGTTATAAATATTTAATATAAATGCTAAATCAAATTTATAAAATTAAATTAACATAATCTTTTGTACTATTAATATACTGTATAAATAATTTTATACATAAAACACTTTATTATTAAGTTTTGGATATATTTTCTGACAAAATTTTATTTTTTCAAAAAAAAGTAATTAATTATGATTGTCATTTTATAATTATAAAAAAAACTAAATAAAAGTCTATTGTGTCTACTGGGATGTCTAGTCAGTACAGTACAGTCTATGCTTAATATAAATAACATTACATTTAGCTGTATAATCTAATGAGATTTAACTGAGTGTATACTAACTATTTTATTAATTAGATTTAAAAATTAAACAATAGTAATAATTATTATAATTATCGTTTTGAAACTTTTAAATTTATAAATTTTATTGTAAACAAATAAAACTTTTTTTTGTAAAATAAAAAATATGAAATTTTTGACAACTAAAAAGAAATATTGTAGTAATTTCTATCTAAAACATTGCTATAATTTAAACTATATTTGTTTAATAATAATAATATAAATAAATAATTCAATTCATTAATGAATACTGTAGTGAAAAACACAAAAAAATAACACAAAAAAACAATCCTAAAAACATATAAATCAATTTATAACATCATTGTATGCTTTAAAGTTTAGTAGAGTTTATAAGTATAAATAAAATAATAAGATTAAAACAATTTTTTTAAATAAAACAAATTGAAACATAAGTTTATTGTACTCTAGTTTTTTCACTGTCTATTAGATTCAGTTATTTTTCTAAAATAAATAAATCTTAATCAAAAAATATTATCTATGGACTATAAAAATAAAATGCAAAATTAGTCTAATTTACTATAAAGTAAAGTCAATGTCAAGTTTAATAAACTTTATAAATTGTGAGAAAAATTTGCATTATTTTTTAACTGTTTTAAATTATTTATTTAATGACTATTAATAGCTAATAAACGGTTCATTTATTAATTAAAAGTAATTATTTTCAATCAATGTATTGAACTTTAAATGCTATATAATAATACAAATATCAAAACGACAGAAAAACTACATTATATTTAAGGATTATGTTTGTTATTATTAAAAAAATCATTAAATATATAACTAATGTACAATAGTTATGTAACGTATGGTAATGTTTTTTGAGTAATGCTTATAAAATTGTTTTTTTAAAAATAATAATAATACTATTAAACTAATGTATTGTATATAAGTATAGCAAATTTATTAGAAAATATTTTCAATAAAATTGAAATAAATAAATATTTTGTTTGTTATTTAAAATAATGTCAATAACTTATATAGTATTGACATTTAAATAAATATAAACCCTATAATAAAAATTATTTAAATTAATATACAGTGTATGTGTATATAATTAAAATATTTGAGCTTGAGCACTGTATTTTTACTTTGATTATGTATTTAAATTACAATTTTATATAATATGAAATATATAATTTTAGTCATTTATCTACTTTATATATATATATATACACATTTGTAATCAATACAATGTCAGACTCATTATGTTTTAATATCTCTAAAACTATAATTATAAATAATATGAAATTTGCTTACCGGTAAAAACTTTTCAAAAATTTATTATTAATAGTTTTTAAATTATTTAAATATAACTAAGAATTTACATTATAATTATAAACAAAACAAAACTTGTGTTTTCAGCAAATTGTCACTCCTATGGAATCCATTGAATTCACCATTGATTCTAAAAAAATTAGAATATTATTTAAGTTAAATCAATACTGAGTTCAATGGAGTCCACTTGAATGACAATTTGTTAAATACTAAAGTTTTTAATTATAATGTAAATTCTTATTTATTTTTAAATAATTTAAAAACTATTAATAATAAACTTATGAAAATTTTATACTAGATTTTTTTTTGGGGGGGGGGAGTCTATCTATATTTTATGCAAATGTCATATTATTTGTAATTATAGTTTTAGAGATATTAAACCATAAAAGAGTTTAACATTTTATTGGTTCTGAATGTATATATAATTACTAGAAATATGATTATGCAAATCTAATAATATTAATAATAATAAAATAATCTTAAAATAAAAATTGATTGCATAATAATATTATAAGATATAATTGAATTTGATAATAATAATAATAATAATAATATGATATATAATATAATATATCTAAAGTAATTTGATTATAAATCATTTTAACAATATTATGATTACTTTAACTGAAATTGATTAAAGAAAATAATATATATATATAGTCAAATGTAATTTGTAAATGAGCTAGAATAAAATAAATTCTACAAAAAAAAACAAAATTTATAGGTAATACAAATTAAATATAAATTTTCTATTATATACTATATATTTTATGTAGTATATAGAATAAATTATTATCAAATAACACAATGGTATTAAAATACTTTAATAAACTTATACAGTATATAACGGTATATAAAGTATATATTTATTTATTATTTTAGTTGACATCATCACAGTTGTAGTCAATAGTGATTTATATCAATAATCAATATGTTTTTGATGTTTAAAATTATTGAATAAGATATACAAAATAATTTACATTTAATTAAAAACATAAATATACAAAACAAATATATGAAATTTATATTATAAAATAAATTTATGGAAACTTGCAATTTATTAATTAGTTATATACATTAAATTAGTAAAAATAAATTTTTGTAATTACATTGTATATATTTACTTAACATTATATATTAAAATAATGTATATACTATTTATTGTTAGCAAAATTGTTTATGTAATTGTAGTTTATTATCAAAATTTATTTAATTAATACTAATTTTGGATTTAATAATAATATATATATTTATTATATTTATATTAACTTTATTTTTAATGCAATATTTTCCACCAATCAATTAAATATTTACAAAAAAATTGAATTTTACATACAGTAATTATTAATCCCATTATTTATTTTAATTATTGTATTTTAATATATACAGGTATATAGTATTATAAATAACAAATGTAACCTTGGTAATCCCTCCAAAAAAAAGATCATCTAACAAATATAATGTTATAGAAAAATTACAATATATTAATACCCTATTTATTTTATTTTATTTGTTTGAAATAAATATACATTAGTAATGTTATCATTACCTACATTACTAAATCATAATAAATAGCACCTCTCTCTCTCTCTTTCTTTCTCTCTCTCTCTCTCTCTCTCTCTCTTTCTTTCTCTCTCTCTCTCTCTCTTTCTTTCTTTCTCTCTCTCTCTCTCTCTCTCTCTCTCTCTCTCTCTCTCTCTYTCTCTCTCTCTCTCTCTCTCTCTCTCTCTCTCTCTAATATATAATACTAATCTATGCGTTATTTATGCTAAAAATATTTCATCACTATTAAGGCTATGTGTATTACATTAATACAGTACTATACAGTGTAGTACACATATTATATACACACACACACACACACACAATAAAGCGGCAAATGTGTGGCAATAAAATAAATCATATATCGGATCGACATTACAACACATAAAGCAAGTAATGGGCGGATCTTAGACTATAGAACTATAGATACAATTTATTTAATGTAATGTATTGCAGGCGTAATCTATAATAGAGTTATAGATACAGTGTTTATGTGTTTGTGTGTATGTATTGCTGACCATACGATACGGCAATTCATTGGTTTTTATATTATTATTATTATTATTATTACTATTAATACAAATAGTCTGTTAGTGTGTCTATTGTTTGCATTTCAATCAATTCATTGATTAGTAAATTGATTTGAAAACACGTTTTTGAAATCAATTGGTTTGTTTGTCATCTGATATGACTATTGATTGATTGATTCAATTGATTGGTTGATAATGTTATTGACATTGAATTGAATTGAATGTTCAAACCGTTGAACTATAGTTGCTATTTGTTAACAGTTTTTTTTGGGTGTTTTAAAGATTAAAGTAACCGCTAATTGATTTGTTGGTTGTTGTTGTCGTTAATTTACCGTCGGATCAATTGATCAGTTAAACGACGACAAAATGTCTGACAAGAATCTGCTTTTAACGGACACGAAGACTATCATAAATTCATTGGTCGTTCCGCACCCGAACGGCATTGGACTCAAACATCTGTGCAATGAATACTATGATCTCGAGGGTAATGACATCGCCGATATGTATCGGCCACTTGATAGACGATGACATCGATTTTTTTACTGACCATAAGCTTCTATATTATCAATAGGTTCGGAGATTCCGTACCGCGATTTAGGGTATCATTCGTTGACTTCATTTCTCAAATCTATGCCCGATATGATCCGTTTGTACGGCAATCTGCAGGACATACACAATGTAACAATATTTCCGGTTGTGTCCGAAGCCAATAAGCATGTTATCGATCTGGTCAAAGGTCAGAACAAGACCGACAAAAAACGTGGTCGCGCTAAACGAATATTTTCAATTGGTATGTGGAATCGGACGGCAAACAGTGTCCACAATCCGTACAAATATTCGACGACCACCGCCTCTGTGCCACCGCGTTTTCGGGGACTGTCCAACTCGTTGGACGCAAATAGAGGTCAGTATACCCGAGTTTTTTTTCATTGACATATTACCGATAATTTTTTGTTGGATCTAAATTTAATTACAAGAGAAGTGTATTTATCACTTTATCAACATTTTATAAGTCATGTCTAACAACAACATCACATAAAATATTTGTTTTGTTTTTTTTATTGATAATTTGTGTGCCAAACAAATATAATGATAATCAAATGTGTCGATCCTTGAAATTAAAATATATTACAATCATTTATCACAAGTGTTTGTTTGTTTTGTTGTAATAGATTTTTACAATCAGTATTTAATTCAATACAACATTCAATACTTGAATTCATTGTATGCAATGAAGACTGGATTACTTAATGACTACTTTTTGGCTAATTATAGATATCAGTTAGCATTGAATGCTTTGTTGAATCCATCAACAGGTGATTGTTGTTTGCAGAAGACATGCAAAGACTATTTTAATTGTTTTTATATAATTAATTGTTTTTAAATACATTTATTTATTTATTTTCAAATAAAAAATTTGATTAAATTAGAAACTAATAATAATTTTTTTACAGGCAATCGGGTTACAACCAATTTGAGTACAAATATACCCCGAGTTAACGTAAATATGGTAAACACAAACTCGAGACCAACGCTATCGTCAACCGCTTCTTCAATGAATCCATTGACCAAAAAGTTTGAAAATTTTTCGATCACAAGAGGACCGCCACCGGGACTAACACGACAACAGAAAAGTGCGCCAAATCTTATGAATAATATAATTGGTAATCAACAGAGAACATCGCTATTGCCGACACCACAACAGTCACGGCCGGCTTCAAGTAACGGCGTTATTCCTCCCGATATTAAGGTATTAATTGAGAGATATTTATTACCGTTTATGGTATTTATATTGAATTTGTTTTTTGATAATTAATAATTTTTTTTAAAAGGAAAAAATCAAGATAATGATGGCCACACCAGACTTAGTCGACGGCATAATGTTATTTAATTTTGCCGCACAATATAGAAACCAATTCAAAGAACAGTTTGATTCGCAAAAGTTTGGTTTCGATACTTTGGCCGGTTGTCTACAATCAGTACCCGAATTAGTTAAAATGATTCCAGTGGGCACCTGTACCTATAAATTGTTACCCAATTTGGATTATATTAATGAAATGGTATTTATCTTATCAATTGTTGAACTGTTGGCAAAGTGTTTGAAACTAAACTGATTTTTTATTTTTAAAATTTTTTGTTTACCCTAATAGACAATTCCATCTCAAGAAACAATACCAAAAGTTATTGCATCGACAACAACGACACCAACAGCAGCAGCAGATAATCAGTTAACTAATGGACACACGAAAACTACAATTATCACTACAGTGTCCACATCAACCTCAACAGTGTTGACGTCAAAGGCTTCTAATTTGAAATCCATTACCCGAACCATTAATAATACTAATTATGGCAAATGTAATGGTGTTAATAATAGGGCTCACAAGCCGACAGCCTTTGCAAGATTTCAAGGCGATGACGACGACAGCGAAAGTATCAGCTCTTATGGTTCACTTGAAGACAACAATAGCCGAGCGATTCGTTATTTCCATCATTTACTCATTAGTAATCCAAACGGTATCAATAGTATAGATTTTCCCAAACTTTGGGAGAAAGAGTTTGATCGGGTTTTTCGTCCGAAAAACTGGGGCTTTGACTGTGCGATGGAATTGTTTGTCAGTTTGCCTAAAGTGTTTGCCATTGAAAAGACTGGAAACAATGATATTATTTTACACGACGCCCGATACAAGAAGTTTGAGACCAAAACTAAGGCTAATGGTATTGTAGTGTTTTGTTTTGTTTTTTTGTTGAAACGATTATCAATAATAATCTATTTTATTATTTCAATTTATGTTTACCGATAATTACTAATTATAAAGGTTATATGGATGAAAAGGAGGCATTGCAACGGTTACAGGGTATACCCGATCTAATTCAGGCCAAGATTGTCAACTGTATTAGCTCAGAAATGCCGGCCGGTATCAGAATTGACGTTTTTATCTCTGTATTCGACGCCAAATACGAACAGTTAGATTTGAAAGCTTTGCGCTTCTCCGATGTCGACGAGTTTTTTGCTGTTCTCGAAAAAGATTTGCCAATTATTGTTAAACGAGTTGATGGACTGAAATTTATTTATACTAAACCATTGGAACAGATTAAAGAATGGTTGGGCAGTTGCTGTCGATTGAATCGATATATTATACCAATTACCTGTAAAACAGACGTTCCCCGCTATGTAGTACTGCCCGGCGAAAAGTTTCAGCCTCCAGTACTGCCTCCGAAGTTTCAGGCGGGTCTTAATGAATATGTGGCCTCATATATCTCGTCAGCTGTCAGTCCTCACGAAATGTATATTCAATTCAAAGGCAAGAACTATCATCAGGCGCTCGAGATTCTGATGCACGAAATGGACTTCTATGAAGATCCAGCTCAGGCTCCTACAAGAGAATGGTCCGTTCCTTATGAATACCTGTGCGTTGGATTGCCCTGTGTTGCAAAATATCCAGGTATTGGTGAGAATCTAGTTTTTTTAAAGATTTATTTTTTAAATTTAAAATAAACATTATTTGTTTGATTGATTGATTTATTAGGTGATCAGTCGTGGCATAGGGTGAAAATTAATAAGATTTTCTTGAATCAGACCCGTACTGTTCAGATAACTTTTGTCGATTACGGCGGTTCAACGATTACCGATTACAGTGATCTAAGATTAATGAAACGAGAGTTTCTCAAATTGCCGATTCAGGGCATCAAAGTGGCCTTATATGGCATTAAACCTGCTGGCGGTGCTCTAGGCTGGACCACCAAATCGCGCGACAAAGTACTCCGTTTTTCGAAACCCACCTACGCTTTGGCCACTTCAGTGATCGAGTACCGTAACGGTGTACCAATGGTGGCCATCTGTGATACAAATAGCGATACCGATGTTTTCATTCATAATGTGCTGATCGATGACAAACACGCCGTCTATGAAGAGGACGTGTTGGACACAAACATCGATTTGCTTAAGTAATAGCCACCGATTGCCTATACTTTTAACACAAATTGAAACTCAATATTTAAAAAGTAATCGAAACTATCATATCATTCATATTTTTTTATATATATATATATATATTCATTAAGCATTCATTTTTTTTATTTGTTACTGACATTAGAATTGATTACTAACTTTATTACCGTAATATGAAAAATAAGTTGAATTTAAAAAATCACATTTATTACGGTATAAAATAAATGGATTATTTTGTTATTAAAGTCAAAGTTACTAAATGAAAATAATTTAACTGATCGTTTAATATCAACAAATGTTATGAAAATATGATAAAAATATCATAAAATTGTTTTTTTTTACTTTAAATAATATCACTATTAGTATATTGTATATGTTAATTACAATTTAATATTATTGTTATTATTATGATTACTACTATTACTACAATGAATGCGCAAAATAATAAATACTTAATTTAATTTTAGGACTTATAAAAATGTTTGTTAACAAAATAATTTCAATAAATAAATGTTTTTTTTAACTATAAAATAGTTTAAATTACTTGAGATTAAAACGTTTTATATGTAATAATGTATTATTGAATTGATAGTGAAGTCCATATGATTTGCTGTGAAGTAGAAAAATATTATTGTATTTACACTAAACAGTAGTGTTTGAGACAAACAAATATATGACTTGAAGTTAAGTATAATTGTAATACACGTGGCATTCAAGTGATAGTTAAAGGTCTTAAATAGTGATAATCTGATCCAAATTGTCTTCATTGGTCCGACAAATTTGAATGCAATAATCTGATCATCAATTGGTTGCTATTGATTGTCATCAAAAGCAATGAACAACAGACAAGAGCTCATATCAAAGGCTGAAGACGTGGCCGACGAGGTCTGTGTTTATCTGTTGTTGATCTGTCGATTGTCACTGTCTTCCCGACAGACTTTTCTGGCCATAACTTGTCTCAACTTCGGCCACAGATTCTTATATGTGTCTAATCTTTGTTTGTTTTGAATGACCCGAACAGGTATTGCGTCGCTCGAAGACCATATTGCCGACCATTGCCCGACTATGTCTGGTGTCGACATTTATCGAGGACGGCATCCGTATGTGGTTCCAGTGGTCAGAACAACGGGACTACATGAACAGCCAGTGGGGTTGCGGCTATTTTATTGCCTCATTTTTTGTCTTAATCAATATGTTGGGCCAACTGATCGGCTCTGGACTAGTGGTGGCCCGATTTCAGGTGATGATTGCCTGCGCAATACTGTTCGGTAATGTTGTCCTTCAGGTACGTCTACTTTTTGATGCTTTAAATTGTTACCAAATTTTTGACTATTTTTTTAATGTGTTATTGTTTTTCTTTCTGATGGCCAGACCTTTGCGTATTCAATACTATGGGACGTAAACTTTTTGTTACGAAATATGAGTCTTTGCGGCGCTCTATTGCTTCTGTTGGCCGAATGTAAAGCCGAAGCCCGAACTCTGTTTGCCGGCGTTCCGACACTCGGCGAAAACCGACCGAAAACCTATATGCAGTTAACCGGACGCATACTAACAGTGCTGATGTTCGCTACTATCTTGCACTTAGACGTCAATATCTTCTCAATCATACAAAATATTATAGCCATCGGACTCATGGGTGCCGTTACTGTTGGCTTTAAGACAAAACTGTCGGCTCTGCTGTTGGTTTTATGGCTTAGCGGTAAGTGTTGACGATTACCCTAAAGTTATTTATTTATTAATACTGATGATTGTCTTCAACCTACTTGACTGACAGCTTTGAACTTATATTTCAACTGTTTCTGGACGGTTGACTCACACAAACCGATGCATGACTTCCTTAAATACGACTTCTTCCAGACATTGTCTGTGATTGGAGGCCTATTAATGATTGTCCTGTTGGGACCGGGAGGTATATCGATGGATAATCATAAAAAACGATGGTAATTGTTGGCCCACATAACCACTACCACCACAAACACTCTTATACATACATAACACCCATAAATATATTAAATATCTAACTCTTCATATATTGTATTTTTAAAAATTATATATATTTTTAAAACTATAATTAAATTAGTTGATTAACTATATTACCAATTAAGTGAAATCATTAATGAATTGTATTGTATTGTGTGAGCTGTTTTTATTTGCAAATACACACTGAATTGAATCCATAGTTCAATATAAATGTTATTATATTTAATATATATATATATATATATATTATTTTATTTGTTTTTATTTTTATTTTTTCCAAATTTTTTTTTTAAAAATTTACTCTCATTTTCTTAAACATTGAATAGCTATCAGAATTCAAAATTATATTTTAAAAAGTTTGTTTTTATTGTGTTTATAATTACAAATCTATGTAATTTTAAATAGGTACTGTATAATTTTGTACAAATATTTTAATAGTTTATTTATTTAATGTAATTAAATTTATTGTTAATTTATAATCTTTAATTTTATTTTCTCTTACAATTACTATTAAGAATTCTGTTATATAATTATTATTTATGTTTGTATTTATATTGAATTTGGATTATATTTTTTATACGGATTGTCTTCACTAAAGTGTCAATATATTTATGAATGAATTTAAATGTTGAAACATTTTTTAAAAAAAATTTAGTTTTTGCCAATTTATTATATGTAAATGTTTAAAAAAACGAGTTGTTATTAATATAAAATTATGCCATCGATAATATCAATTAGAAATGTATGATTATAAATAATTATATATATATATTACTATTTACAGTTATAAAATAAAATTTTAAAAATATTTTTAAAAATTAATTGTAAACCATTAGTAAATTTTATTAACAGTAATTTTTAATTAATTTAAATAACTATTCTATACAATAAATATGTTGTATTTTAATTTACTTAACATTGTTTATATTGTTGAATATTTAAAAAAAAAAACAGTATTCATAATATAATTAATTTCATATTATGCTTCAATGTTGTATTTTGTGTGATTAATAACAATAATAATATAAAATATTAATGTCATAAAAAATAAAACTAAAATGTGATATCAATAAAATACAGAACATATTTATTTTGATTAATATTGAAAATTTCCTTGCTAATTATTGATATTAAAGATTCATATTGAGTTATAATTAATTATGATTTCTAGTCAATCATCAATTATATATATATAAGCATCAAACATATGTTTTGTTAAAACATTGATAATAATACTATTTATTTATTGATATTACTGTCATTTCCACATTTTCTAAATTTTTATATATTATAGAGAAAAATGTGAAATCAATAGTTTAAATATAAATAGATTTTGAAATTTGAAAAAATACTAATTTTGTATTAATATTAATAATATAACTGACAAATATAAAATCAATTTTATGGCAAAATAAGTCATTTGATGTTAACAATTAATTTATAAGTTAATTTCATTCATAGTATGACATCAATCACATTAATTAATTTTTAAAACAAAATATTAATATATATATATATTTATTATAAATAACTCAATTATAAAATATAGATTTTGCTTAATTTTTTAGATAATTATAATATTAGAGAATTTTTATATATTAGGAAATTACTTTTAGGGTAAATTAGTTTTTTTTAATACAGATAAATAAAATAAAAATAACATAAAACATTTCATTAAAATATTTTATACATTATATACTTATAAATTTACGATTACATTATATAATATAAGTTATGCTGTACTGAATCTATCAATTAACAGAATATTATTGACAAAATAATTTATTTTATTAATAAAAACGACATATATTTGGTGTTTTTATGAAATATTTTTTGTTTTTGTCTATTAATTTTAGAAATTTATTTAAAAATTTAGTGATCATGCATGTCATAAATATTTTTATGTAAGGGAAAAATTGGGAATAAAATAATTTTTCTGTATTTAATAATAAACTTTATGCAATTAATGTCACATTTTATATAACATATCGTCACTCAAAATAAGTTTTTAAAAATATGATTCAGCTTTATATACAGTATATATATATATATATATTTGTTTAATTGTGTTTAAAGTGTTTCATATTTGGATAATTTATTTAAGTTTAACGGTTATGTTATACACTATTAGTTTATTAATATGTTTTTTGCAGTAATTTAATGATTAGTCATAAATAAAATTTATTTAATAGATTTTCCATAAAAAATTTGTTTTAATTATGTAAAAAATTTTTAATAAGATTTTATTTTATTTTTTATATGACAACGTAAATTTATATATATATAATATATATTATATATTGTACAACTACAGTAAAATATTTATGTAAATTTACTGACATTATCATAAGTATCATAAGTCAGTCAAATGACTACACAAATTTGTTTTAATAAAATATTATGATTATGTTTAGGATATTAATATTTTTGTCTTTATTGTCAAATTAGGTCAAAACATTTAATACTTTAAAAAAACTTTTTATTTTATTGATAATCATTTAAAGAAAGTGAAAGAAAACGAGAGAAGAGAGAGAGAGAGAGAGAGAGAGAGAGAGAGAGAGAGAGAGAGAGAGTTATGTGAATTCAAATCATTTTTATGTTTATTTATATTATATTTAAATTATTGATTTTATTTACATCCATTTATTCAATAAAATTTTATATTTATTATACAAATATTAAAGAATAAGTATTAAAACTACAAAATATTTTGTAGAGTTATTTAACAAAATTTTTATATTCATATAAAAATAAAATAACATTTTTAAAAAATAATAATGTATATCTATATTAATATTATCGATTTTTCATATTTTTATTGAATATAAAACAATTATGAAAAAATGGTTATACACGTGTTAAATGAATTTGTTTATTTTTATAATTATACTTTTTATATTTTCAAATTTAAAAGACAATTTAATTTTAAATTAAATTACAAAAAAGTTAAGTAATTAAATAATGTTATGCTTACAATTGACTTATATCATTTAACAAATGTATACATAAATTATAATAATTTATATGAGTCTATTTACACAATTAATCAATTTTAATCAAACAATATTGCATTTTCAAAACACTTTTTATTATTATCTAACTTAAAAGTATTATTAAATAAAAATTTGAGAAAAAAATTAAATTATTTGAACGAAATTTTCACTTAAATTTTTATAAAAATTCTAAGAAAACAATTAATTATTAGCGGTTTTTTAAAGACATATTATTATAGTTTTAAAAAAAAATAAAGTATATGTAGAATATGTATAACAAAAAATCAATACCGACTTTCATATAATAGAAATACTGTAGTTATTATAAAAACAATTTTTTTGTGGGTAATAAATACTTTAATCTTAACTTACATCATATTTATATTAATATCTTGAATAATAATTTATTTAAAAAAAACTAATGCTTTTATGTAAATAAGATTAAATTGAAAATATTTATTGACAAATCAATGTGCAATTTAAATTTGTTATCAAATATATATTAAATTATATATAATAAATTGTATTCAATATTATAGAAATCTTTCTTTTTTTAGTAATTTACTAAATAATGCTATATTTATAACAATTTTTTGGAAAACTTAATGAAGTGTAGAGTATAAAATATAAAGTTAGTAACAAATAAAAATAAAATCAGTTTTAATTAAATTTTCAAAACATTTAATTAATGACCAAAATATATAATCAGGACTTGAGTGCAGTGCAAGTCTTAACTTTGTTTTATTATAGTCAGCAAAATAGGCTATAATTTACAAACACATGTATAGGATATTATATATTTATATATAAGAAAACAAAATAATTCAAAGTCATTGTCTCTTAACTTATTAAAATTGCTTTTATATTTGAGTCAATGATTGAATGAATGAATGAATGTGTGTGTGTGTGTGTGTGTGTGTGTGTGTGTGTGTGTGTGTGTGTGTGTGTGTGTGTGTGTGTGTGTGTGTGTGTGTGAATGTATGTATGCATGTATGTATGTATGTATGTGTGTGTGTGTGTGTGTGTGTGTGTGTGTGTGTGTGTGTGTGTGTGTGTGTGTGTGTGTGTGTGTGTCTTATTAGCATTTTATTGTCCTATAAGTTAAATTAAGACAATTACTGAGTATATAAAATAACTAGATATTTAATACAAAGTCATTGTACATCACTATATAATATAATACTATGAATAAAACGATACGTTGTATATAATTATTAGATAAGATCAATGTCTCATATGTTGGCTATTTTTGTTCAGTGATTTAATAGGAAACAAGTAGTCATCACATCCTATATATGTTCAGATAATTGTCTTGAGTTCAGAGGCTTATCAATGAAGAGAGAGAGAGAGAGAGAGAGAGAGAGAAATAAAAATCAAATTATAATACAACTAAATGTGAAATACTTTTGTATTGTTGTATACATAAAATATTGTCGACAAAAACATAAGTGTCGGGAGATTTGTTGAGCAAAATATTTTCAATTTTCGTCATTATTAGTTACAAACAAAGTGTGATTGAATTTAATTATTATTTTTGTTATTATTTTTTGTAAGAAAAGTTCATTGTTTTATCACTGCCGATGGTTTTGACCGCTTGTATACTATTAATACTAAACATAAACTAAATATAAATAAGAAATAAATATTTTATTTTTTAAATAATTTATTAGCAATAAATAAAATTAACTAATTTTTATTATTTTATTTAACAAATGTAAAATTTCAATTATAAAGTTTTAAAAAATATAAGTTTTCTGTTAAATTAGTTAATTAAACAATAAATGTTTTTTATATTTTAAAATACATAATATACATATAAAATTTTTAAAAAAATAAAAGCTAATTGAATTTGTAATGCGATTCCATATAAAACAATATTTAGAGTAATTTAATAGATTTATATATATTTTATTTATAAAAAAAATTATATTAATAATAAGCTTATTTTAGTAATTTTCTTAATGTGTTTGCAAATATTTAAATCTTATTAACAATTTTATCGTAATTTTCAATCACGCTTTAATAATTTAAAAGTATTAATAATAAAATTTTACGTTAATGTTTTAGTTTTCATTAATAATTATAAAATTAATAAATAAATACTATCAATTTACTTATAAAA